TTATTTGCATACTAATAAGTTTTGTTTACCACCTTTACCTCAGGAATTTTGTGATCCCGGTTTATCATACTAATCAAAACTTGTTCGGAATGCCTCCACCCCATCCCAAAAAAAACTGTACCTTACATTCAAATTTTAAAAAATCCAACTAGTCTATATCGGTTCATATCTTCCAGTTCGAGGTGGTTTTAGACCACATTTTGCTTTGATGTTAACAATGATTTTTTTTTTTATCTTAAAGTGTAAAATGTACCAATTTATCTCTAGTACCTAAGGAATTCATCTCTACTAAAACATTTACGAATTCATCACTAGTATCACGATTATTTCAAACATTAACCAATTCATCTCTAGTACCAGTAATATTTCTAGACCTTTACCAATTCATCTCTAGTATCACCAGTATTTTATTACCTTTACCAATACATCCCTAGTACCACCAGAATTTATAACCTTTACCAATACATCTCTAGTACCAGTAATATTTCATAACCTTTACCAGTTCATCTCTAGTATCAACAGTATTTTATTACCTTTACCAATTCATCTCTAGTATCACCAGTATTTTATTACCTTAACCAATTCATCTGTAGTTCCAGTAATATTTCATGACCTTTACCAATTCATCTCTAGTACCAGTACTATTTCATCACCTTTACCCATCCATCTTTAGTATCAGTAATATTTCTAGACCTTTACCAATTCATCTCAAGTATCACCAGTATTTTATAACCTTTACCAATTCATCTCTAGTATCACCAGTAATTCAAAACATTTACCAATTCATCTCTAGTATTTCCAGTATTTTATTGCCTTTACTAAATCATCTCTAGTATCGCCAGTGTTGTATAACCTTTACCAATTAATCTCTAGTATCACTAGTATTTTATAACCTTTACCAGTTCATCTCTATTGCCAGTAATATTTCATGACCTTTACCAATTCATCTCTAGTACCAGTAACATTTCATGAAATTTACCAATTCATCTATAGTATCACTAGTATTTTATAACCTTTACCAGTTCATCTTTAGTATCACTAGTATTTTATAACCTTTACCAGTTCATTTCTATTGCCAGTAATATTTCATAACCTTTACCAATTAATCTCTAGTATTACCAGTATTTTATTGCCTTTACAAAATTATCTCTAGTATCACCAGTGTTGTATAACCTTTACCAATTCATCTCTAGTATTTCCAGTATTTTATTGCCTTTACTAAATCATCTCTAGTATCGCCAGTGTTGTATAACCTTTACCAATTCATCTCTAGTATCACTAGTATTTTATAACCTTTACCAGTTCATCTGTATTGCCAGTAATATTTCATGACCTTAACCAATTCATCTCTAGTACCAGTAACATTTCATGAAATTTACCAATTCATCTCTAGTACCAGTTATATTTCATGACCTTTACCAATTCATCTCTAGTATCACCAGTATTTTATTACCTTTACCAGTTCATCTCTAGTTTCACTATATTTAATGTCTTGGCTATTCATTTCTAGTACCATTAATATTTCATGATCTTTACCAATTCATCTCTAGTACCAGTAATATTTCATGACCTTTACCAATTCATCTCTAGTACCAGTAATATTTCATAACCTTTACAAATTCGTCTCTAGTGTTACCAGTATTTTATAACCTTAACCGATTTATCTCTAGTTTTTCCAGTATTTCATAACTTTTACCAATTCGTCTCTAGTATCACCAGTATTTAATAATCTTTACCAATACATTTCTAGTATCACCAGTATTTTATAACCTTTACCAATACATCCCTAGTACCACCAGAATTTATAACCTTTACCAATTCGTCTCTAGTATCACCAGTATTTCATAACTTTTACCAATTCATCTCTAGTATCACCAGTATTTTAAAACCTTTACCAATTCATCCCTAGTATCACCCGTATTTTATAACCTTAACCAATTCGTCTCTAGTATCACCAGTATTTCATAACCTTTACCAATACATCTCTAGTATCACCAGTATTTTATAACCTTTACCAATACATCCCTAGTATCACCCGTATTTTATAACTTTTATCATTTTATCTCTATAACCAGTAATATTTTATAACCTTTACCAATTCGTCTCTAGTATCACCAGTATTTCATAACTTTTACCAATTCATCTCTAGTATCACCAGTATTTTATAATCTTTCCAATTCATCCCTAGTACCACCAGATTTTATAACCTTACCAATTCATCTTTAGTATCACAAGTAGTATCACCCGTATTTTATAACCTTTACCAATTTATCTTTAGTATCACCAGTGTTTTATAACTTTTACCAATACATCTTTTCAATAACCATTCCCTTATATATATAACTTTTATCTTCAGTATCACGAGTATTACCTATTCTTTTCTAGTATTACTTGTATATTATAACTTTACCATTTCATTTCTGGTATCACTAGTATTTTATAACCTAAACAATTCATCTCTAGTATCACCAGTATTTTATAATCTTTCCAATTCATCCCTAGTACCACCAGATTTTATAACCTTACCAATTCATCTTTAGTATCACAAGTGTTTTATAATCTTACCCATTAATTTCTAGTACCACCAGATTTTATAACCTTACCAATTCATCCCTAGTATTACCCGTATTTTATAACCTTTACCAATTTATCTTTAGTATCACCAGTGTTTTATAACTTTTACCAATACATCTTTTCAATAACCTTTACCTTATATGTGTAACTTTTATCTTCAGTATTACGAGTATTACCTATTCTTTTCTAGTATCACTTGTATATTATAACTTTACCATTTCATTTCTGGTATCACTAGTATTTTATAACCTAAACAATTCATCTCTAGTATCACCAATATCTTATAATCTTACCAATTCATCTCTAGTACCACCAGCGTTTATAACCTTACCAATTCATCTCTAGTATCACCAGTATTTTATAACCTTTACCAATTCATCCCTAGTATCACCCGTATTTTATAACCTTTACCAATTTATCTCTAGTACCAGTAATATTTTAAAACCTTTACCAAATCGTCTCTAGTATCACCAGTATTTTATAACCTTTACCAATTCGTCTCTAGTATCACCAGTATTTCATAACCTTTACCAATACATCTCTAATATCACCAGTATTTTATATTCAATATCTTACCAATTTCATCTCTAGTATCACAAGTATTTATAACATAACCGATTCGTCTTTAGTATCACATGTTTTTCATAGCCTTTACCAATACATCTCTAGTATCGATATATTCAATATCTTACCAATTCATCTCTAGTATCACCAGTATTTTATAATCTTACCAATTCATTCCTAGTATTACCCGTATTTTATAACCTTTACCAATTTATCTTTAGTATCACCAGTGTTTTATAACTTTTACCAATACATCTTTTCAATAACCCTTCCCTTATATGTATAACTTTTATCTTCAGTGTCACGAGTATTACCTATTCTTTTCTAGTATTACTTGTATATTATAACTTTACCATTTAATTTCTGGTATCACTAGTATTTTATAATCTTTCCAATTCATCCCTAGTACCACCAGATTTTATAACCTTACCAATTCATCTTTAGTATCACAAGTGTTTTATAATCTTACCCATTAATTTCTAGTACCACCAGATTTTATAACCTTGCCAATTCATCCCTAGTATCACCCGTATTTTATAACCTTTACCAATTCGTCTCTAGTATCACCAGTATTTTATAACCTTTACCAATTCGTCTCTAGTATCACCAGTATTTCATAACCTTTACCAATACATTTCTAGTATCACTATATTCAATATCTTACCAATTCATCTCTAGTATCACCAATATTTTATAATCTTGCCAATTCATCCCTAGTATTACCCGTATTTTATTACCTTTACCAATTTATCTTTAGTATCACCAGTGTTTAATAACTTTTACCAATACATCTTTTCAATAACCTTTACCTTATATGTATAACTTTTATCTTCAGTATTACGAGTATTACCTATTCTTTTCTAGTACCACTTGTATATTATAACTTTACCATTTCATTTCTGGTATCACCAGTATTTTATAACCTAAACAATTCATCTCTAGTATCACCAGTATCTTATAATCTTACCAATTCATCTCTAGTACCACCAGATTTTATAACCTTACCAATTCATCTCTAGTATCACCAGTATTTTATAACCTTTACCAATTCATCCCTTGTATCACCCGTATTTTATAACCTTTACCAATTTATCTCTAGTACCAGTAATATTTTATAACCTTTACCAATTCGTCTCTAGTATCACCAGTATTTTATAACCTTTACCAATTCGTCTCTAGGATCACCAGTATTTCATAACCTTTACCAATACATCTCTAGTATCACTATATTCAATATCTTACCAATTCATCTCTAGTATCACAAGTATTTTATAACATAACCGATTCGTCTTTAGTATCACAAGTATTTTACCAATTCATCTTTTCCATAACCCGTACCTTTTATGTAACAATTTCATCTTCAGTATCACGAGTATTAGCTATTTAACTTAATCTTTATATCAACAGTATGTTATGACCTAACAACTTCATTTTATAGACCATTGTAGTACATTACCTTACAGATTTATTTCTTTTATAAGTAGTATCTTATAACCTTACCAATTTATCTCTAATATCCCTAGTATTGTTTTAATTACTGATTGATCTCAGCTTAGAATCATATGACCATGACTTCCATACATGTAGTAACATCCGATGAGACTCAAACCAACAAAAGAAGTAACATTACGGTATATGTAAGAATCTGAAATGACACGTTTTTCCTCAAATCAACGGATGTGAAAGTCAGTTAAAAATAAAAAATAAAAATGGTGTTTTTCGAGTAAATTAACGAAATATATCCTGTAAGGTAAAATGCGTCGAACGCGTGTTTCATATACATTTTCTTGTTTCCAACCTAAAAGCAGTACTGACATGCCAACTATAAACACAACAAAGCTTAAATGTGGTCCTTATTAGATTTTAATAAAAAAATGAAATCATATTAAAGTGATCATAAAGTCAAGTAAAAATAAATCAAATCAAAATGAGAAAAAGGTCCATCTTACATTTTCTAACACACAATTTGTATCACAGAACCATGATGAAAGACGTCTGGTTAGGTAGACATGATAGGTAGAATATCAACAATTTATAGAGACAATGTATAAAATAACAGTAACAAAGACATAACTAACAGCACTTTCGAGTCTAGACTCTGATATACGCACGCCATTTCAGCATATATTTGCATCGTTATAAACAGTTCTAGCTGTTTTTCTACAGAGAGAATGGTAAAGTATATATAGTTGTACGCTGAGACTAGTTTAAGTTCAAACTCAATTATTTTGAAATAAAACATATAATTGAATAAAATATAAAAGACTAAAAAGTTAGAGAAAATTGCTAAGTATACCAAGGACATACAATGCAGACGTAGAACCTATGCATAGTTTGATGAGAAATGAAGACCTCTAAACAATCCTTTGGATTTTAAACAAACTATCTTTCACCGTTTCATCCTGTTGCATGTTATATTTTTTTCTCATTAGAAGTCTCTCATGATATCGTTAATCCCGTTTATAAAGGACATCTTGGTATCATAATCTGATATTTGAATAAAGAAGTACAATATATTAACTTTGTTTATTTTACAACAATAATGAAACAAACTATCTCAACTTATAATATTTTTTTTGCTGGCCCAGATGTTAGCGCACCTACGAGAACATAAATCTGGCAAATAATAATGACTCATTAAAAGTTCAACGACACAATCTTAATTTTTGAGATACATTGTAGCTGTCATTATGCGGAATTTTGATATACCTTTGTTCTAAAAAAATAAATAAAACAAACAATTGAAAAATTTAAAAAACCTGAAAATATAGTCCTATATTTTGAACGGTATATCTTTGATATTCATTAAATACCATTCTCAAAACCATTTTGAACACTTTCAAAGAAAATTAGCAAGATGTTTTTTGAAAATAATATACCAATTATTATAGGTAAGATATTCTAAAAAGTTGAAAATAGTTAACACGATAATACAGGTTTAACTTGTAAACCAATAAAAATGAATAGAATGAAAAGCACTAAAAGTGATTTTGTGTGAGGTAAAAATAACAATTTTGGTTTTATGAATAGAAATACATTCCTGAGTAGATATAAACTTGAACATCACTATCAAAACATCGTTTTAGTCATATACTTTAAATACAATTTTGGACATATTTCATTATAAAAAAAACATGTTACATTGTTATATGGACAGACGATTGTTATAGGTGATGTAAGCTTGTGCACCCTGAACCCTGTATTACAACACATAATTACACGACTCAAACATTATAACACTACGAGTGTGGTATTCTCCGTAATTCACGGTATGTATAAACAATTCGTGGTTTGTTCTAGAAACAACATCTGCGGAAATAATATTCCGCAGCACAACCTCAAAAATAATCAAAAGTCTAGATTAATATAAACATGATACGATATGTTTTTAATTGATTTAATGTATAAAGAGAAACATGTTTGAGCTTTGCTAAACAATTTTGTTGTTATTGGTTTAAACTTTGTTTTATTCAAATTTTGTTTGACAATACATCGAAGTACATGTTTTATAGAACAGAAAAGGAAACAAAAACAAGTGTCGTGACACTTATGTAAATTTGTTAGCTTGAATAATTGTTCTAATTGATGTTGACGTCACAGCCTGCTTAACGGTAATATGCATTACACGTTTTGTCAACATACTGTTCTGATTTAATTTGATTTTCCGTAAACAAAAACGAAATCAGGTGAACATATGCAATGGGATTTTTTCATTACGTGTCCGGTCCAAACAATAACGATACACAAAAGTACAGCACACTGGGTTTCTAATCGTTACATCAGCCCACGTTTTGCCATAACGACTACAAATCATATACATTTTGGTCAAAAAAATGACAGAACGCTAAAAAAACCATTATAATTTCTTATTGCAAGATTAACACAAATATGATATAACATAAACAATATCGCCTATGTGATTAAAATTGTATCTTACGAAAGAAAACGATTAAGGATCGTAAAAAAGTTAGTAACTTGTATTGTACAAAATACAATACTACGAAAACAGTATCAAACCAAAGTACAAATATAAGTAATACGTATACTGTCATGGCTACGAGAAAACGAAATTTCTCAGTCATACTTAATACATAATTGTTTGACGTAAACATTTTTTGGCATGTGTTATATATAATGAGACGGGTTTCGTTTACCGTGGCACAAAGCAATTAACATGTTTTTTACAAGTGTTCAGGATGATAAAATGACATTAATGTCACAATAAGTACTTAAAAGCTTTTAACAATGATACATTGATCTAGTCGACGAGATTATGGTACAACCAGATAAAATATATTAACACAGTCAATAACAACTATTTACAAGAATTTGTGTATATTAAGGAAATAATTATTAACAGATTCTTTTATAAATATAAAACAAGTGCTCTTAAAACGTAAAATATAGATTCTTAAAATTGTTAACCAAAACAAAATAAAACACTTTCGAAAATAAATATAAAATTAGTGAAATGATCAATTACGACTCTTGTAAACACATGGAATGATTAAAACAGTATAGCTATTGACGGAAATTGTCAGATATCTAATCCATCTGCAACTTTCCCCAAATCGATTTTGACCGGAGTACCGCTCTGTCTTTTAATCCATTGCCTTTCATTTGTCTTTGTGTTATATTCATAAACCTGTCCGGACGCTAAAACACAATATATATGCACGAATAAATAAAAAATTAAAAAAAACCCAATAATAGCAGGACTCTAAGAAATTGGAAAATACTTTTTTATCTTTCATATATTCCATTTAGATTTAAGACATACCAAACTTATCGCAAGTGTAATAAACAATTATTCATGAATTAAATAGAGAATAATACATGCCTTTTTCCGCATCACACCCAGTATCAACCCGAGACTGAAATATCAGCCCGAGAGCCGAAGGCCCGAGGGCTTATATTGGTCGAGGGTTGATACTGGGTGTGATAAGGAAAAAGGCGTGTTTCATTCTGTTTATTAAATACTTACTAATAAAAGCTGCTATCTTAATATGATCTATTTTTCTTTTGAAATATTGAAAAACGAAAAATGTCCAAAAGGGGTGTGATACATGTTTTGCGGGCTGATACAGGTTTTGGGGTGTGATACGGCGGGGGCTGATACGGCTTTTGGGGGGTGATACGGCGAGGGCTGATATGGGTTAGAGCAATTGTGTTGTATCGCATATACAAAAAACCCATATTTATTAGTAAGTATGTAATACATATGCATACAGTGTGTTATCGATTGTTTTGTCACATTGGTGTCGATTTAAACCACACATTACAACATCCTTTTCAAAATATTAACAAAATTCTTTTGCAAAAGTTAAAGCTACATCTATAGAAAATGTTCGACGATAATATCACTCGTTAATGATGAATTGAACACCATCAGTAACGTTGCTTCAATAAATGCTTAGAAAAAAATATTTATAACATACAATTCTTGTTTATTTCACAGTCGCTTACCTTGATCAACAGCACGACCATCAAACTCTCGATTAGTAACAATAAAATCGTTGTTTTTCTGCCAGGAATTTATGTCTCCGCCTGGTTCACTGACAAATGCAGACTTGTTTGGATTTTTGCTTGTCAGAGCCGACTATAACATAAACACAACAATAAACACGTAGTATATGCATTTACATATTCAAATAAGTGATGTCCTCTTAGATGTTCAACTGGCCATAACCGATAAAATTGATGATTGTTTTTGCTGAAATAAAGTCTAATATTAGGTCATAATGGAATGGGTTTTTTTTGGGTTTTTTTAACAATAAGTAGATGGAGTGAAGTTAAAAAAGGGGGCAAAATACGGTATTTTATTAAGATGATTATAGAAATCTAAAAGGTCCGATTTTCAAAACATTTATATGTAACTTATCAAATTCTATTAAAATAATGAAAAATGAAAAGGCAGAAAATGAAGCGCCTTGCTATATGCAAATTATCCCATGAGATAACGATAGGACTGAAGTAAAATGGTATGATGTTGGTCATATCGAACTGGACAATAAATACCATATATTGTCTTTTTTCAAAAGTTCACCTCCTCATTGTCTATGAAGGGACCAAGTGATACAAAAACGAAACCCTATTTCATGATAGCCTGCCCCTTTTTTTCCTGCTGAACCATTTAAGTGGGCAACCATATTTATTTACGAATTTGCAACTTATTTTATTTACTCATGCTTGCAATCTAATTAAAATTATATCTTCACATCGCTCCCGTTTTCTGATATGTCGCGTAACAAACAAAATATAGTTATTGGTTAATGATTAACGATCGTGTAATTATAATCCAACTTTTACCGTACTCTATTGTTTTTAAATAATATATATATATATATTATACTTTGTCGTAGTAATAACATTAGTATACACTGTACACAGGCCTGTTACCATTAAGGTATTAAGAAACATTTAGGGAAGTAATTAAAACCCATTCACTTACGGCTGCTGCAGCTGCTTTTGCTTGCTCCCGCCGTCCTGCACCTTAAATGTAATAATCAGTGATCGTGTATACTATTAGGTTTATGGTAAATAATGAAATACTAATATTTTTTCTAGTGGCCCTTTTCTGGGTAAACTGATGAATCAGATAGCAGTATTCACTGTGTTAATAACAACACTATAGATTGCGATGTCACGATCACAGGGTGAAGTGTAGCAGTATTCACTGTGTTAATAACAACACAATTGATTGTGATGTCACGACCACATGGAGAAGTGTAGCAGTATTTGGTGTGTTGATAACAACACTATAGATTGCGATGTCCCGATCACATGGTGAAGTGTAGCAGTATTTGGTGTGAAATATAATCAGTGATCGTGTATACTATTAGGTTTATGGTAAATATTGAAATACTAATATTTTTTCTAGTGGCCCTTTTCTGGGTAAACTGATGAATCAGATAGCAGTATTCACTGTGTTAATAACAACATTATAGATTGCGATGTCACGATCACATGGTGAAGAGTAGCAGTATTTGGTGTGTTAATAACAACACTATTGATTGCGATGTCGCGATCACATGGTGAAGTGTAGCAGTATTCACTGTGTTAAAAACAACTCTATAGATCGCGATGTCACGATCACAGGGTGAAGTGTAGCAGTATTCACTGTGTTAAACACAACACTATAGATTGCGATGTCACGATCGCATGGTGAAGTGTAGCAGTATTCACTGTGTTAAAAACAACTCTATAGATCGCGATGTCACGATCACAGGGTGAAGTGTAGCAGTATTCACTGTGTTAAAAACATCACTATAGATTGCGATGTCACGATCACATGGTAAAGTGTAGCAGTATTTGGTGTGTTGATAACAACACTATAGATTGCGATGTCACGATCGCATGGTGAAGTGTAGCAGTATTCACTGTGTCAATAACAACACTATAGATTGCGATGTCACCATCACATGGTGAAGTGTAGCAGTATTTGGTGTGTTAAAAACAACACTATAGATTGCGATGTCACGATCACAGGGTGAAGTGTAGCAGTATTCACTGTGTTAAAAACAACACTATAGATTGCGATGTCACGATCGCATGGTGAAGTGTAGCAGTATTCACTGTGTTAAAAACAACTCTATAGATCGCGATGTCACGATCACAGGGTGAAGTGTAGCAGTATTCACTGTGTTAAACACAACACTATAGATTGCGATGTCACGATCACAGGGTGAAGTGTAGCAGTATTCACTGTGTTAAAAACAACTCTATAGATCGCGATGTCACGATCACAGGGTGAAGTGTAGCAGTATTCACTGTGTTAATAACAACACAATTGATTGTGATGTCACGACCACATGGAGAAGTGTAGCAGTATTTGGTGTGTTGATAACAACACTATAGATTGCGATGTCACGATCACATAGTGAAGTGTAGCAGTATTTGGTGTGTTAAAAACAACACTATAGATTGCGATGTAACGATCACATGGTGAAGTGTAGCAGTATTAACTGTGTTAATAACAACACCATTGATTGCGATGTCACGATCACATGGTGAAGTGTAGCAGGATTTGGTGTGTTAATAACAACACTATTGATTGCGATGTCACGATCACATGGTGAAGTGTAGCAGTATTCACTGTGTTAATAACAACACCATTGATTGCGATGTCACGATCACATGGTTAAGTGTAGCCGTATTTGGTGTGTTAATAACAACACTATAGACTGCGATGTCACGATCACATGGTGAAGTGTAGCAGTATTTGGTGTGTTAATAACAACACCATTGATTGCGATGTCACGATCACATGGTTAAGTGTAGCCGTATTTGGTGTGTTAATAACAACACTATAGACTGCGATGTCACGATCACATGGTGAAGTGTAGCAGTATTTGGTGTGAAATTTACAACATGTACTATCAGGGCTATACCTTTAGTTCTTATTAAAAATCAGAAATAGAACATTCAGATTTCTTATTGAAGTCCGATTATACTAAAATTCATATCATTGATACTTTTAATGTTTTCAGTAGATGTGTTATATATCTAAAATATCGTAATTTAATAAATAAGTGATGGCAAAGAGATAATAACTGTGAATTTTAACAGTACACATATTGATTAGATGGTAATTTTGTTTCAAACATTAATAACAGGAAAGTAAAAAGATAATTTTGGTAAAATATTAACAATTCTATGGTACTAGCACTAGTTACCCCAACTAAGTTAGGATGGCATTCATATACACTCCAAATGCCATGGCCCATGTGTTGACGTCATCATTAGTATGACGTCAAAGTTAATATGTTAGACAGCACAGACCTTCGATGAAAGATGGCTGTTCTATTCATTGAAGAAGAATACGCGATTCATACACTTATTTGAACTAAACGCTGAATTTTATAACACATATATGATTTCTATGACATAAAAATACTCAAAAATTATAAATATAAGTATTGATTTGTGTTGGTATGGCATTTACAGGCTGTATAAGTAACAAATTTTTGCAGGCAAACAAAACATAACGCGCGTTATTGGTGTGATATCCTCTTGAGGGTACGTTTACATTTATACTTACGTGAATATGGAGGAGGGCGTGGCTTCTCGGACCAGCTTTTGGTATTGTTGTTGCTTGTTTCTGTCACTTCCGCCCTTGGTTCGGCTGCTTTTGCAGCGGTTCTGACAATTTCAGAAAATTTGTTGATTTAAGTCATTATTAAGGACGATTAAGTGAAGCATATAATTAATTTGGCGTTGTTTTCATTTACAGTCACAATTATCAAATAATTACGTACATTGTAAACCATTTACCATTTTTTTTCATAAATATTGATGATAAAATTACCTAATATTATTTTCATTAATGAAATAACAAACACACCTAACTCATTCCTAAGGTTCCTTGTTAGATACCTTTAAGTACCTATGCTAACGCAACATCTAGATGAAGCACAAATTAAATTATGTATGTTTCTGACATAGTTATTCGCGTATTTTTAATATGCATAATATATCTTAAATTTGCATACATCTGGATTTCAAAATCATATTTAACATATTATCTGCATTCATGGTAAAGGATAAAACGGAAAAGTTTCACCAGAAAAAATGTCATTTTCAGTTGTAAACAAACCGTATACTGTAAACGTACTTGTTTCAGCGCACCCAAATTTTAATGCATTATCGAATTTAGCGATTATATTACTGCATTTATAAATTGGCGCATAAAAAAGTTGCAAAAGAGCAGAATATACAAGAAATGCAACTGGTACATTCATTTTTTACAGCAATATTTAATGATTAAAAGGCAATAAAATAAAGATACCGCTTAATATGTACGTTAAGGGTATCCTGCGAAATATACACAGGAACTAAGGGTACGGTTCAATAACTATAATTATAGTATATGTATTTACTTTCTTGCCCTGAGGTATTTGATAATCATAATCGTAGTCATGGCGATGCATGCCACTCCAATGAGAACACAAATCGTGGTCACAGCAATTCCAGTAGCCGTCTGTATCCAAGGTGTGCTAGTATCAGCCGTGCTCGTCTCGTAAAGTGTTATCTTCTGTATAGCGAAGGGGTCCCACGACGTCCCTAAAGAATTTCTCGTAAACTTTAATTGTATGTACAGGCAATCTAGATAAATCATCCATTTATCTGCTACTTAATTAACTGATGCGATAGTAACAAGGATGATTCCTAAACGTATGGTTTATTTTTGTCTTTATCTAGTAGTCTTTTACACGACGAATGAAATGCTAAATAATACCGATTGCGAAGAACTACTAAAAAGAAAATACGAAGAAATGACGTTGCTAAGATAGAACCATGTACCATTTGAATTGAATGGTGCTTTTCAAAAAAAGAAAAAGAAATGCAATCAAACCTTTACCGTACCTATTACACTGGAGGATGGGGTACCCGCGGTATCCGATGCTACAAATCCCTGGGCTGACGATGCACTCAGGAAAACTTTCTCTGCGCCAATGTTACCAATAGAATCTGTTGTATTGTCTTGTAGCACGTACATGTGCACAATAATCGCACTGAAATTGATAATTGATAAGTACGATATTTTTCTTGAGTAGAATGTATCATTATGTTTAAATTGTGATATGACAACAATAAATGTTATAATTCTATGTATCAAATTTAATAATATCTTCATAATGGAAGTTTTGATGATGGCTGCTTAAATTTCATTTCTAGCATACGCACACTTATTCTATTGGACTGCTAGGCTGCATTCGTTTATCGCGATCCAAACAGTTGAACCGGTTGGACCAGAGTTGTTTGTTTATGAAATAAGATCGGACCTAGTAATCTGATGCAGCTTTAATTTCAAGAGAGCCTTGACAAAGCCTTACAAGGCTTGCATCAACATTTGCTGGCTCGCCAGGATTTATACCCGAAAATGTTACATTTAAAAACAGACAAACCGGTTGAACCGGATACGCAAGAAAGGCCCTAGCTAACATAATAATGCTTTACCTCCCTGATGATTCGACGATACACCATCGCTTTACTGAGGCTGATGAATAGGTCACCTGGTACACCGCATCCAACTGACTAATGAAAGTACTTTCTACCGACTCATAGTAGGTTTTATTAACCCCTAAGTAGTACGAAATGACAACAAGGGACGGGGTATAAGCATCGATCCTTATCGTAGCGCTGGTGCTAGTTGTTAACTGTGGAGTCCCTCCGTCGTGTGAATACGCGTATGCCGTATAAAGCTTCCCACTGGATAGCGTTGACGATCGAGTTACTGCCCCTGTTGATAAAATGAAAGAAACGTCAAGAACTTTTTGGTATCTTTTAAGCAATAAAACTGTTGAAAAATGATATGAATGTTATTGTAAACCGTCAAACAGCTAATTGATATACTATAATATTCAATGATATATTATGATATATTTTAAATATTATATATAGAGTATATGGCGTCATCATATAATTGAAGCGAATGCCATCTGGATAATCAGTAGAAAACATAATTCCTTTGAGCTAGAGTTGCTTGGAACTATTGATAATCTTGAAATATGTTTTATCCATTTCTTTAATAATTGGTTTTATCTGTATTCCTGATTATATTGCCATAACTCGTTACTGTAATTTGTTTAATTTTAATGATACATTGAGTGCATACCAGTGCTGGAATCCATGGTAAAGTCACTGTTGGTGGTTGTGAAGTAATAATACAATTGTGCGTTTGCACCTTCGTCCGCGTCCGAAGCTGTCAGTGTTACGATGGTGGGATTACAAGAACCTGTATACGGTACCTCCCCGTTGTAGTAAGTGGGAGAAAATATCGGGGAATTGTCGTTCTCGTCTCCCACTGTTACCGTAAGAGTTGTGGATCCGGTTCTAGGTGTGGTGCCCGTATCCACAGCAAGAACAACTACAGTAAATGTCGCATCTACTTCCCGATCAATCGAGGATTTCACTTCCACAAGACCTGTAGACGAACCGATGGTCAAATACAGATCTGCTCTAGCACCGGCTGTTGAAGAGGTGTCAAAGGAATACAAAATGACTGCATTGACACCTGTGTCTGCATCAGTAGCCGACATTGTTGTTATCGATGTGACAACAGCAGTATTTTCTGTCACGGTTGCCGAGTAAGTTGTACTAGCAAATGCTGGGTCGTTATCATTCAGATCGTTTATTGTTATGGTAACATTCGTGTCCGACGATAGAACAGGTGTTCCCGAATCCTGGACACGGCACCATATCACGTACGTGTCAACACTCTCTCGGTCGAGGCTCGCACTTGTTGTTATCACGCCTGTTGACGTGTCAATTGTTACAGGGTTCGATCCACCTGACCAGTAGCCTATGATATTGTAACTTATTGCCGAGTTAACCCCTGTGTCTGCATCCGTAGCTGCTATAGTGCCAACACTTGTGCTCGTAGCGACATTTTCGTCCACTGTAAATGTGTAAGGTGCAGCTGTCCATGCTGGTGTATTATCGTTAAGGTCACCGATAGTCACTGTGCATGTTACACTGGCTGTTCTTGGAGTCGCTCCATTGTCTACAACATATACCTCTAATATGTATGACGCTGTTGTTTCCCTATCAAGGGCATTAACGGTTTGTAGTATGCCTGTCCCCACCTCTATCTTGAAGTCTGTGTTAGTGTTTCCAGAATTAATGGTGTAGCTTAACTGACTATTTTCTTCATAGTCCAGATCAGTGGCAGTGATTGAGAAGACGACGGTGTTGACGGCGGTGTCCTCGTCTATAGTGGTGTCATAAGTACCAGATATACTGGGGTCGTTGTCGTTCACGTCTATCAGGGAGATGGTTATAGTAGATGTACCGGTGAGAGGAGTGGCGCCTTTGTCAGTGGCAAGGATCACCATCTCGTAACTGTAATAATAAATCATATGCATGGTTTTTGAAGATGAAACTAATTTAAGAAACTGATCATACTTTTTTTTTATGATACATTATAGAGTTAATGCTTAAGGAAAGGTATTCTGTTGTTATCCATACAGTCAAACGGAGATAAACATGTATGGCATATTAACTTACCTGGCAGTCGTTTCCCTGTCCAGGATTGCATTTGTCGTTATGATACCCGTTGTTGTGCCGACCGTAAACGGTACGGATGATGTAGTGCTGTACTCAAACACGTTATTATTGTTGCTTACAGAATCAGCATCAGTTGCAGAAACCGTGGTCACGGTTGTAGTGACTACAGAGTCCTCAGATAAAGTGACGGAGTACGTTGTCGGGGTAAAAGTTGGTGTATTATCGTTTTCGTCTGACATGGTGATCTGGACAAGGCATTGGGCTGTTAAAGCTGGAACTCCGTCTACTGCCTGCACTATCAGCGAAAAGTACTGATTAACTTCGAAGTCTATTACGACCGTGGCGGTAATGGCCCCCGTGGAAGAGTCTATGGTGAAGTAGGATGCCCCATCGCCCGAGGATATCGAGTAAGCGATAGTCCCAAACGTGCTAGCATCACCATCAGTCGCCGCTACTTGTACCAACGTGGTCCCTGCAGCTTGGTTCTCGGCAAACGTCGGCCTAAATAAGAATTACCGCAATTATTTTCTGATTTATATGATAAACGTTGTTTATGAAAATAAAAAAAATCATTTAAATAGAAATTAAATATGTACATTTTTTTTTTAGTTTATATACATACGTATATGTCGATGATCCAAACACAGCAACTTCATTGACGTCATTCACAGTAATAGTAACGGTGGCAGTGACATAAGTTGTACCGTCATATGCGGTCACGAGGAGTTGATGATTGGTTGCCGTCTCGTAGTCCATACTCGTGACGAGTAATATAGTTCCCGCGTTCGTGTCCAACTCAAACATGGAGTACGTAGCAACGAATGCATAAGAAATGGAATCCCCGGTATCTACTGAATCTGTAGCCGTAACGGTCACTAATGTAGATCCTACAGCCGTATCTTCCCCAGCAGACAAAGCATACGTTCCTGCATGAAAATAATTTATGAATGTAGTAGTTACTAAATTAAAGCTGACGGTTTACTTGTTGGTGTTTACCATAGCTTACACATCAGTTTGCACTTCCATTTTTAAATGGACTTATCGATTGCACACGTATCATTCTATAGCTGCATCTAATATGTTATAAAATGCTTGCATTCAGAACTATATTGGAAAGCAGATTTTTATTAATTTTTGTCTTTGAGATTTTCCTACATACGCATAATGAATATAAAATTTGCTTATAAAATTTGAGTTTATATTTAAATACAATACCAGAACTTGTGAACACAGGCGACCCCTCGTCCACAGCCCCAACGTTGACGTCTATAGTCACTGTAGCTGTGAGTTCCGGAGAACCGCCATCTTTAACCGTCACTTGTAAGTTATAAAATGTGGTTGTCTCGTAGTCAAGGGCAGCTGCAATAAATTTAATGAATCAAATTCAACAGATGGTGCGTTTCGTATAATGTATAATTTCACTTAACGTAAAATTTACCAACAAGTTAAACTGTATTTTACCACTGTCACTACGGTATAACATGAAATGTTCGCTGTGTTAAAACATTCGTGTTTTTCGTGGTTGACATGGAACCACAGTATTACAGTCGTTCGAAATTTGATAGCTAAAAAAACCCAGAAATTAAATAAGCAGACAGATTGCCAGGGTCAGGCTCAGAACCTTTATATACATAAAGCTTACACTTTGCCGATGCTGCCATGCAGGAAATAAAAACGCACAGCGTCAATTGAATGTCTCATTTATGGACCACAAAGCGTATGCAAAACTTGACAGGGAAAGTTACAATTTATGTAAATCCAGAAAGAAACTGCTTTTGAATGCTTCATCTTCTATTTAAAAGGGATGCTACTCAAGGTTAATCAAAGTGCCGAGGGCACCCAGGGATGCTTTGTATGAAGGATTCAAATAATGGAATAAAGGAGGTGATATATCAGTACAGAATGGCAGTAAATAATAAAGAACATGTTGTTTAGTAAGGGTCATAATAGCCCACCATTAATCATAATTTTCAATAAAAATATATATAACAAGCAGAGTATTGCTAAAACAATATATGTCCCTTACTGGCTACCATTAGCAGTATAAATATAAGTAACGATGACCTTGACCCAACAGCCCTGAAATTGAAACTTGTCTGATATTATGGTCCTTAATTAGTGTTTCAAATCGATGGAAATCCTTCAAGGAATGAAGCTGCTACAGTGCAGACAATGGTCTTTTTCCAGTGCGTGTAATCGCGGACTTATGCAAGTCCCTTGTGTATCTCTCCTTCTCTATATATATGTATATACGGTTTTAATGTTTGATGTTCAATATGCTATATTCACGAAGCACTTGTATTATACTAATCGGGCCATTACCTAGAGACTGTATTGGGAAGCTATCTACAAACGCGTTAGCCACAGTTGCTGTCGCATTGGGAAGCTATCTATAAACTCGTTAGGCACAGCTGCTTACGGCTACTTTAGTATAAGTCAACATTCTCTTTCACTTGGATACTTTCCATTGGGACAAAGAAAACACGAAGCCTTTATAAAGGACAGTTATCAAACAGTCGTTCAACAAGTCGCGAGAATGAAACTACACAATTATGGACTAGGGGAGAAAACTCTCACACACACACTTTAGTGTATTGGAATATATACGAGGCGTAGTAATTTGAACCAAATATAGTTCGGAACTTTCATTGATTAAAAATGCCACTGTTAAAGATCTTTACATATTTTCTTTGATTTTTTTGTCTTATATAGATATATTTTACCATATTATAGCATTGATCATATCATGAAATAATGAACACATTATCTAAAGATCTTTCGCGGAAGGAGATAAAGTGTTGTTTGTTTTTTTGTGTGTAAAAAATATTCGGTCCAAAAAGCGTAGTAATCTGAGATTGATATAGTTTATGATGCTCACTGAAAAAACTCAACTTTTCGTTGAATTTAAAAAAAATCTTTGATTTATTGATCGTTTTCATATGTATTTCATCATTTTATAGCATTAATCATACCATGAAATAATCAACACAGCATTTAAAAATCTTCCGCGGAAGAAGAAAGTCTGTTGTTTGGTTTTGATTTGCCCAGGCTATGAATGCTGTACACAGCATCCAAAAAGTAGACTCTGTGTGGAACCCTTCTCGGCGATTATAACTGATGAAGTGTAACATTTGACCTAAATTATTCTTCAGTGTAAGAGTAAATACTGTTACATTACCACTGACAACAAGGGAGGCTGTAGATCCGGAAACGGTCACGCCGAATTTATTGTCCGGATTCTGTGTCATAGTGTACGTCAATGTGGTTCCAGCATCTCCATCAGAGCAGGACAGGTCTGATATCACTGCCGTACTAGTAGCTGTAGCAAATACATACTGCAGTGTTATCAATTAATCAGAAGGGCGAGTTAATGTAACATAGTTTATAAAGAAAGCAAGTATTTGTCACCACGATGGAACACCTATCCTCATTGCATACCAACATAGAGATTAAGAAAGTCAAACTAAAGGAGCAACAATATCACGACAAATCCTATAATGAACATACCTGTACTTTCGAGGACGGTAAGGACATGAGCAAATGGAGTGCATATAGGCGTGTTGTCGTTCACGTCAGTTACAGCTACTGTTACAGTTCCTGTGCCCTGTTCGTAATCAATACACTCCACATTTAGTTAAATAACCGTGTAATATCATTTATACGTTGAGGTTCCCTGTCCCTTTCGTGCAAAGCACCAGATAATTATAATTCCACCAGTTTTTTCGAACATAGAACAATTTTCCTTTTCCTTTGAGATGTAACTGTAGCGCGACCTGTCTATGGTACTAGCGTAGGTCATGTAGCTTATTAGGTTAAAGCGACAATACAAAACCATAGAGCGTGCAAATGCTTGACAGTAAATGATCGAAGTAATTTTTCGAATCGTTGCACCGTAATTTTTTAAATTCAATATCATTTTTTTTCTATAAACGTTTTGTAAGGTTTGGTTTCCTTTTCAGAAATATTTTATCTTGCCGGAAAACAATTTCAATGCATAGTTACAGCTTTAGCAGTGGTAAAGGGATCCTTAAGTTAGGTTTAGTTAAACAATATTAGAAAAAGCGTACACAAATTATAATGATTATGATCTTCGTCACATTCATCATATGCATAGATTGTAAATCGAGATATTATATAAAAAACATATCTTAGGTAAAATATAATCTTTATTTAGTAAAAATATTTCAAATATATTAGACCTTTGGTACATATAAAAACCTGAACACAGCTGCAAACGTCTTATGAAATATTTCAAATAAAGTACTATTATTTAGAATTTTGAAGAGAAGGTCGACCTACCGTTGAGCCTCCTCCATCTGTAGCGACTACAGTCAGTTGGTAACTGGTGGTACTTTCGTAGTCAAGAGACTGAGCCAATTGAATGTTTCCGGAGGTTTCATCAATTACAAAATAGTTAGTGCCACCATTCGTCACTGAAATTCCGAACAATATTTATATTCATCACTTATTATATAAAAGTGTATCAATGATATAACACTATTAGTATTTACAAATGTATCAAAAGTATAATAATATTTAGTATAGAAACACTGTATTAGTTTTTCTCAACTTCATATTTTGATTTAATTTGGTTATTACATGGAATTAGCTTATAATAATCTCCGTCAAGGTATCTTTGGAATATACATTGAGTGGAACATTAATTTATGTGAATTACGCATGTAATATAATTATGTATGTAGGATACTGTTGTAATTTGCAGCTAAAATACTAAAATAACGCCCAGGGTTGATGCAGAATACAGGACCAGAAAGAGGTTTTCATAATCAAATACCGCCAATAAATTAATTTTCGCGTTAATGAATAAAAACAATGACGATCACTTGCGAATTTTGTTTATTGAACTGGAAAACGATCCAACGACTATTCATTGTCTTCTGACGTTCACCAACCTGCAGTGATGTCATAGTTGACGATGTTGTGAGGTGAGGCATCAGCGTCTGCTGCTGTGTACGTCATCAAAGCTGTACCACTTCCGGTGTCTTCCGCAAGCGTCGTCGACGGATTTGAGGCAAATGTGGGCGTGGCTTCGTTAGCAGCTCCTACGGTGACTGCCACAGTAGCCGTGGAAATGGTGGTACCATCAGATACACCGAACAGTAGAGTATATTCCTGAGTGCCAGCGTCATAGTCGAGTGCTTAAAAGACAAATGCAGATAGGGTTCAGCACGTTGTTTCATCATATTTGTGTACATAGTTCTTGTGACCATGTAATTCTATATAATATAAATGATTAAGAGTTATAATGTTACCACAATCAAATTTCAAGATGGCAATTACAAGAATGTAGATGTAACTCAATTTCAATGGTAGCGCTACAGTAAAGTGACATTTCCAAATTTCGATAAGGTATTTAAGTGTTTTGTGTCGGCATAAATGATAGACGATCGCTCTATGAATGACTATTATATACATATATGGAGTTTGTTGTCCTTTCTTTAGTAGTTTTTATTATACTCTTCATAATCGCCCTGTGACTAAGATGTTCTTTACAAAGATATACCATTTGCCAGTGTCACTACTCCAGCTGCAGAAATTGCGAAGTCGGAACCAACGTTTCCACTGACAACGGAGTATGTGATGGTGTCACCCGTGTCGCCGTCACTACAGGAGAGTGTAGTTACCTAACGTAGGGAAAAAATGGCTTAAATCATATCTCTGTATGCAATCATTATGTTTTTCAAAGATTTTTCCTGTTACGTCTGTACAGGAGACACAGAACGGTTTTGCAGATACATGGTACCTTATAGGCATGTGCTGTGATGCGGACTTCTTTTTCAAAAGAGTTCGCACTTTATGACAATTTTAATGATAATTTTTGTATATACTAAATTATGATGACATTAATTGTTTTAAACTGTGGATTTAAAACGTTTAAGCCATCTCTCTGATCAAATAAAACTACATTTGTTATTTTTATTGAGTAGTGAGGGGTGTATCAATTTACTTAAGTATCCAACTAAGGCGATAGGTTATGACTTGTTAGATCATTCTGGTGTAACATACCGTGTCTCCTGTTGAAGATGACTCCGATACGGTTGAACTGTATGCAGAGGGACTACATACTGGAATGTTGTCGTTGACGTCTGTCACGGATACTGTCACTGTCCCGGTACCCTGAAATTGGTGTGAGCAGTGTTTACATTAGTATAGCCCACCGTAGTTCACCCGTCCCTGCTCTCTAATAGTTTGCAAAAAGTGTTTTGAAGCGGAAAAGTTGCCCTAGACGCTAAAAATTCTGTATTGTTAGTATATATGGGAACAGGCCCATCAACCTGTGATACTGTCTGTCCATGAGGTTATAACAAAGACGGTACATGTATATATGTAGTTTGGTAAAGTTTTAAGAACTAGATACTTCATATGCAGACACATACCATATATAGATGAGCAAAGAAAATATTCAAACGGTACAAGTACACATATGTTAAGCGCCTACATACTTAAACACATGATATAAAAAGAAGGGTTATGTTAACCGTCTTCATACTCAAAGACATACAGCAAAAAAGTTATACAAATATATACTAATGAGTTTAAATTTATCATATCATTATGGGAAAGCTGTCACCGAGACCGAGGAGAGGTTTCAGCTTAAACATTTAAAATTAAATGAAAACCAAGCTATTTCAGTAAGATCCTCACCACTAGACCACCTCCATCAGTAGCGGTGATCGTGATCAGGTAGCTCGTTGTGGTTTCGTAGTCAAGAGCTTGCGCCAAAGTGATACTGCCGGTACTTCCATCAATCGAGAAATATGGACTGCCCGTGTTTGTAACTGAATCAAATTTATTGTCATATTAATTTATTTTTTCGGCAAATCAAGACGTTTAACTTGATGGTCAAACAAGTAATTGCAATAATTAAGAACCTTCCCGATGAAAACTCATTAAAATCTGGGATAAAATGAATATGTACAAGACTTCCACACCTGCCGTAATGGCGTACGTAGTGATATCGTGCGGCGAGGCGTCCGTGTCTGTGGCTGTGTAGGTCGTTACTGCGGTACTGACACTGGAGCTCTCAGCCAGGGAAACTGTCGGGTTAGTGGCGAAGGCTGGAGTGTCCTCGTTTGTACCAGTGACTGTGATCTTAACCGTAGCAGTAGCCGTAGTGGTGGAGTCTGTCGCTTCCACAGACAGTGTGTAAAACGTCGTCTCCGTGTCGTAATCAATGGCTGGAAGGTAGGAATTATTACATTAAAGAATAAACTATCTTAACTATGTGTCTGATTCTTTCCGTGAAAGTAGTAAACATCAGAATAAATTTGAAAAATGCAATCAATCCGAAAATTAAGGATACATGTTTATTTGAAATGTATGATAATCAAAAAATTGTTCTTACTTGAAGCAAGTGTTATCTCTCCTGCAGCTGACACAGCAAACTTTCCACCGGAGTTTCCACTGGCAATTGAATAAGTTACTGTGTCAGCGGTGTCGGCATCTGCGCATGTCATTGACACAACCTAAACGCAAAGAACGATCATGACGTATAAAAAAGAATCGAAAGCACCAATGGATAACAACAACTTAGTATTTATAGTTATATATATTTCTCATATGTTTGATAAGTAAAGTTATTCAAAATTATTTCTTTGCATTCAAAATGTTCCGATTCTTACCTGGAGATCTATTTTAAGGCAGATGATCAAACATTATCGTCCAATTAAACATCTAACAATATATAGATACATGTATATATCTTTAGTTTTCATTTAGACATGAGATAATTCCTTATTTATTTGGCATTACCGTAGCTGCAGCCGATGTGCTCTCGGCCATTTCTACGTTGTATGCTGATGGTGAAAATATTGGAGAGTTATCGTTCACATCTGTGACGGAAACTGTAACTGAGCCGGTGACCTGAAGAGCAAACACCCCTCCATGAACAGTACATTTGATGACATACTAAGAGCATATAAATCCTGCATTGTCTGTCTGCCAACTTAACTGCAAGAATGCAGGATTATGTACGCGAGCTAAAATGCAATCGTGAAACGCTCTCCATTCGTTTCGTTGTTAGACTCTATTGACTGTTCATACAAATAGATACTATTCAAACCGGAGGAAATAAAGTGAAAACAAAACAAAAAAGATTACCAGAACAAAAGGAAAGACATAATCACTAAAAAAACATAAGTTATAGAATAAAATTATTTCATGGAAGTGAACTTATATACCAAGGTATTTCGAAATGCTAAGCATGGAATAAATATGTTCGCATAAAAACAGATAAATCACCACTGGATGTTCGGAAAAGCAAATTGCAATGGAGTATTTCAAAAGTATATAGTGTTGACAGGTGCTGTTTAAAACTAATGTTATAATATAAAATAATATAAAATTCCACAATAAAAGAATAACGGTGACCCATACCGCTGTGCCTCCCCCGTCCGTAGCCACCACTGTGATGACGTAGCTGGTGATAGTTTCATAATCAAGAGCACTGGATAGCGTTATACTACCCGACGTCGAGTCTATGGAGAATACACTGGTTCCACTATTGGTGGCTGCAAAAGACATGTTCAACTATTTATTGAATGTCATTTAATATGCACTGAGGTATAGATACACTTTATCACAACACCTGTCTGGAAAAGTGCATCCTAGGTTGTGCGTACAAGCCTTTCTGGACAGCAAAAACTACAACTTCGAATTATAACACAACTTTATATTAACAACCAACACTGATTTTTACAGACATTCAGTGTAAAAAGAACAAGTGTAAACTACAAGTGTGCTGAAGCTCTAAAAGTATAAATATTATTTTGGAAACTAACGAGACAACTTTATGAGGTAATCCTTCGTCAAGTTGTTAAACTTATTTTGATATGATGTTTCTCATACCTGTTGTAATGGCGTACGAGACAACATCGTGAGGTGATAGGTCACTATCTGGGGCCGTGTACGTCGTGACGGCTGTTCCAACACTTGTACCCTCCGCGAGGCTGACGGTAGGGTTAGACGCAAATGAAGGATTGTTGTCGTTTTCAGCAGACAAAACGACGTCTATGGTAGCTGTACTGGACAGAGTCCCGTCACTGACCTCAACAGCAAGACTGTACGACTGACTTCCGGTGTCGTAATCCAGGGCTTTAGAAAGGAAGTATTGCTCGGCTCAATGTACTTACATATTTCATTTTCAAATGTGAATGAATTCAATATTAATTATCTGTATTATAAGGCTATATTTTATAACTAATGCATCTGATGTGTTATTAGATAAAAATAATTATTAAACATTTTTAAACATTTCATACAGGTGAATCGGTACTTACTACAAGCCGTTGTCAATACTCCAGTGGCACTTCCTAGACTGAAACAAGCGTCAGCATTCCCGGAGCTAATCGTGTAGGCTAGAGTGTCGGAATCTCCATCCGTACAGACCAGGGTTGTTACTGTTGTCTACAATAAGGAACAGCACAATATAAAAACCAATGACAAAGGTTCAATTTAGGACGATTTAATAACATATCCAATTATATGTTTGTATGTAAGTACTTATACATAGCATACGTCATACATATAACGTTACACTCATTTCACGTGATTGTATGTACATGAACCTACAGAATGCATGTAGCTGGATTCCACTGATTCCGACGTAATAAATTTAATATTTTTTTTCCATAAATGATAAAAATGGGTTTCTCCCTGATATCTGATGTTTCAACTTATTTGCATTTCTATAAAGCCAAAACATTTCTATTGACTAAGATGGCAAAAATGAAACCAAAATTTGGTTGTGTGGACATGCATATATAAAAGGGTTTACAAAAAATGAGGAAGCAACCATAGCAAAATATGCTTTGGTATCTTAAATTGTCACATCAAGCTTGAAATGTAAATATATTAGTTTAAAAGATAACAGACTTACTCCTGACGAGGCTGTCTCCACCACTGTAAACGTGTAGGAAGATGACGGACACGCCGGAGTGTTGTCGTTGACGTCCGTCACAGATAACGTCACTGTTCCTGATCCCTGTACAGACATTAATATCATAAAAGCTAAAATTTATGAAACTTTCAAATGACATCGTCAGTTGCTATTTGATATTTTTTCCTTCTAACTTCCATAGAAAAAATAAACATCGGTTTGAATATGATGTTATTTGATGAACAATTATCAATATGTTGAATGAAGAAGTACTGCTCACCACAAGGCCGCCTCCGTCAGTAGCAGTGACCGTGATCTGGTAACTTGTTGTTGTGTCGTAATCCAAGGTTTTGGCTAATGTTATACTACCAGAGGTGGCATCAATATTGAAGTAGGCACTTCCCGTGTTCGTAACTGTAAAAGGTGGACTCAATAAGAAGTCTTGCTTATTACCATAACGAAATCAAAGGATACACATGTAACTTTTTAATTTCAACCCCATGTTGAAAATGACATATCTGTCACGTCATACATATTTTTGCTTTTGTTGGTGAAGATAATTATTCCTAAATAAATATTGTTTCAAGCAAAATCGGATTTAAGACAAATATGTTGTTTACAATAAATAAAGAAGTTGTGAAGATTTTGGTTACCAACAAGACTAGGAGATTATAACCTGGACGTTATGTTATTGGTCAATATTCTAAATATGCCTTAAAAAACAATGTTTTGCTATGTCATCTTTCATTATGAGTTCAAAGTTCATGGCAAGTGATTGCCCGATCGGATTTCCCTAAAAAAGTTTTTCAGACATACTCTCTGAATGTTGTGGAAGAAAAAGGTCCCCAAACTTGTGCTGACTGATTGACATGTTTATGTAACTCCCGTTTGTTAGTTTACATTCCCCAAAAGACAATACAATTCGAAAATTAACCAACACGAGTTAAATCAACATGATAATCGTTTACCGAGTGTCTTTTAACAATTCGAGTTAGATAAGCATGGTAACCAATCACCACTCGTTGAGGAACCCCTATAACTAATCACCACTTGTTGAGGAACCCCTATAACCAATCACCACTCGTTGAGGAACCCCCATAACCAATCACCACTCGTTGAGGAACCACTATAACCAATCACCACTCGTTGAGGAACCACTATAACCAATCACCACTCGTGGAGGAACCCCTATAACCAATCCCCACTCGTTGAGGAACCCCTATACCCAATCACCACTCGTTGAGGAACCCCTATAACCAATCACCACTCGTCGAGGAACCCCTATTCATCTACCTTCTACATTCCATCGAACTTTGAATAACATCATGTCTATCCAAAATAAAGTTAATTAAGGTAACACTGTTTTACCTGCCGTAATGGCGTACGTAGTGATATCGTGCGGCGAGGCGTCCGTGTCTGTGGCTGTGTAGGTCGTTACTGCGGTACTGACACTGGAGCTCTCAGCCAGGGAAACTGTCGGGTTAGTGGCGAAGGCTGGAGGGTCCTCGTTTGTACCAGTGACTGTGATCTTAACCGTAGCAGTAGCCGTAGTGGTGGAGTCTGTCGCTTCCACAGACAGTGTGTAAAACGTCGTCTCCGTGTCGTAGTCAATGGCTGAAATTAGTTTCAATTCATTTGATGAAAACTTCCTGAGTTCAGTAGATACATGTACTAATATGACATCTCGTTACTAAATTTCAACGTAACTAGACATTGTTTTGTTTTTCTATACACAAAAGCGATCGCAATCGATCAGAACATATAAACATACATGGATGCAGTGTTATCGTTGTTTGGAATTCGTTAAGGTTGCAGCGAAATAAATTGTACTTTTGATTTGATAAGTATTGCATAGGACAGAAAGCCATGCGAAAGCATATTTAAAATACCAAAACGAAGTAGTATAAATATTTTGGCCGGCCCGGTTAGTATTACATATGTATATATATATACTACCCCACATCTAGGAAAAATATTACAGGGGAGACGACTCTCATGTAAACCTGGAATTTGTATTCAAATGTAAGCGTAAAGAACCTATGTATATCCTTCCCCCCCCCCCCCCCTTTTTCATAATGACATGTTACAAATTCAGTGTGGAGCTACCGAGGTAAACAAATTGTTCGCTTCTGAAAACGTGATTTTGTACTTTTACAGAATTTAATGAAATACTATTCATATTTGAAAGAAAATTATTACATTTAATATAGACTACGTTGATATGGAGTAGTGTCGATTTTATTTTCTCCAAACCTAGAACAGCTGATGGGATCCAATCTTGTTATGATAATTTTATTATTTTACAAAAGTACGCATATTCAAACTAACTTGCTGCTAGGGTTATCTCTCCTGAGGCAGAAACCGCAAATTTCCCGCCGGAGTCACCGCTGACAATGGAATACGTGACAGTATCCGATGCGTCAGCATCTGCGCATGTCGTGGTAACGATCTACAAATACAATGGTTCAGCATATGTTACGTTTCCAAACATACGGGTTCTACCATTACTAAAAGGAATATTAGTCAGGAGAACCGATTTTTTTTACATTAAATGGATTTCGCGGTCGAAATGGAACAGCGGATACAAGTTTCGTAGATAAATAGTATATCTTGTGTAATTTCACACGTACAGAAATGTTGCATAAAGTTGTAAAATCAAAATGGGTTTAAACGTAAAAGACGAGTACGAAGGTAGCCTAGGGCGCTTCACGTTATATTATATCCTTGTTGTGAGTTGAACAAATGAATCTGGTTCAACAACGAGTGTCAACATATGACATTTCATATCAAACTTATTTCATAAATGTGCCGGAGTATTGTGATTACTATATTTGATTACATATTTTACAATACCGTAGCTGAGGCTGCTGTGCTCTCCGCCATTTCCACTACGTACGCAGATGGAGAGAATATCGGGGAATTGTCGTTCACATTGGTCACTGAAATTGTGACGGAACCTGTTGCCTGTAAAAACAAAAATCAACAAATACAATGCTGTTCGGTTTCAGTTAATTTAACTTCGGTTTATGATCATTTTTGTGACTTTTATAGAAGCATACAGCTTTAACAGGTTATACTATACATTGTACATATTCATTTGGAAAAAAATTGATACCGTTGAGCCTCCCCCGTCCGTAGCCACCACTGTGATGACGTAGCTGGTGGTAGTTTCGTAATCAAGAGCACTGGATAGCGTTATACTACCCGACGTCGAGTCTATGGAGAATACACTGGTTCCACTATTGGTGGCTGAAACAGTAACATTATGGCCCCGTTAATATGAATTTGTTGTTTAAATATTTTTACTTAATGTTTGTCTCATTTTTATGATTTTTAAAACTATTCTGATTCTACATGTATTAACAACTGGTTGTGTGGCATACGTAAAACCCATTTAAAACGATATGTATAGTTATGAATAATTTAATTGTTTATGAACTTTATGTACATCAGTTTTTATTTACATACTCTTTTGGAACATGCATTTGTATATACTGAAGAGCACTGAAAAATCAAAAACAAAATATTTTTTCATGGAAAAAATATGTTGGTTCAAATATGTTCTTTTTTATCCACATCGAAGATTATTTTTTCTTTAAGTGTATTTTGACATTGTTTTTTTTATATACCTGCTGTAATGTCGTACGAGACAACATCGTGAGGTGATAAGTCACTATCTGCGGCAGTATATGTCGTGACGGCTGTTCCAACACTCGTACTCTCCGCGAGGCTGACGGTAGGATTGGACGCAAAGGATGGATTGTTGTCGTTTGCAGCAGACAAAACGACGTCTACAGTAGCTGTACTGGACAGAGTCCCATCATTGACCTCTACAGCAAGACTGTACGACTGACTTCCGGTGTCGTAATCCAGGGCTTTAAAATGTAAATCATGTAAGTTAATCGTGGCATCAACTTACATACAGATCCTATATGTGACACGATAATCATTAAAAATAGACTAGGTATATAATTGGATATGTTATCGTTCATGGATTTCTAATTAACAAGGCAACAAAAGAATGCTTTAGTAAAACACGAACGTAAACAGGCGGTTGACCAAAGGTCTGCCATAAAGTCATGACTTCTCCTACTAAAGTAATCTCATCCTATTGCTTACAGGATGGATATAGGATTGAATGTATAACATGTTTCACCTGTCGTGTTTACTTACTACAAGCCGTTGTCAATACTCCAGTGGCACTTCCAAGGCTGAAACAAGCGTCAGCATTTCCGGAGCTAATCGTGTATGCTAGAGTGTCGGAATCTCCGTCCGTGCAGACCAGAGTTGTTACTGTTGTCTGAATTGGAAGGATAACACATACATTTAAATGTATTAATCTTTTGTCAATTAATGGGTACAGTTATCGACATATTAGTTATATTACCAACGTTATCAGAAACTTAACACGCAACATGTCAATATGGCCAAATATTTGCCTTCCGTCCTTCGGAAACGGATATTTTTACAACTAATTTTGTATTTGTCGCTTATTTTACTTATAACACCATTACTCATCATGTTTTTTTTAAAATGTGCAAGTATTTAAATATAGCTATTATTTAGTTTTCTTATCCATGAAACATATTACATTAAATTTCAAATGGCCTTTCTTTACGGTTGCGTCGATAATAACAACGCATATAGTTTTAGAGAGCGTTAAGATATCTACCGATGATAACTAATGATGGCGTCTATCAGTTCACCGATATTCGAACGCTAGTTTAGCATATACGACTGAATTTGTAAAAAGAAAATAAATCTTACTCCCGACGAAGCTGTCTCCGCCACTGTAAACGTGTAGGAAGATGACGGACACGCCGGAGTGTTGTCGTTGACGTTCGTGACCGATAACGTCACTGTTCCTGATCCCTGTACAGAAACAAAGTATCCAAATAATAGTATCTTTATGATTATTTGTTTTATGAGATATGCTTTTATCAAAACAAATTTAATTTAAAAACTTAAAGTAGAAATATGTTCAGCATCTACTACAAAAATTGTAAAACACATTGTGATTTCAAGACTTCTTAACAGTTGATAGATTATATCTGCATAAACTTACAGTCACTTATAGTTAAAATAATATGTCATTATGCTACCGATACCAGAAAGTATTTTCAAATGTTTAAAATGAAAGAAAAAAAATTCAGTCAGACCCCAACCACTTACCACAAGGCCGCCTCCGTCAGTAGCAGTGACCGTGATCTGGTAACTTGTTGTTGTGTCGTAATCCAGGGTTTTGGCCAATGTTATAGTACCAGTGGTGGCATCAATGGTGAAGTAGGCACTTCCGGTGTTCGTTACTGTAACCATTCACGTAATCATCATATGTAACAGAATCGACGAAGTTTAAATATAAATTTCATTGTATCTGCTTGTGTATCAGTGCTCATTTTAAATTGCCATGTGAATTATGTCAATGAAACTTGAAATATTGATTAATTGATTGTTGATAAATTAAAATAATTGCCCTAATACGTAAAAAAAACCCAAAATACTAAACAACTCTTTTCAATCGATAACATGTCTTGATGTTGAACATTTTATATTTCCAATTTTAACATTAAAAAACACTGTTTTACCTGCCGTAATGGCGTACGTAGTGATATCGTGCGGCGAGGCGTCCGTGTCTGTGGCTGTGTAGGTCGTTACTGCGGTACTGACACTGGAGCTCTCAGCCAGGGAAACTGTCGGGTTAGTGGCGAAGGCTGGAGTATCCTCGTTTGTACCAGTGACTGTGATCTTAACCGTAGCAGTAGCCGGAGTGGGGGAGTCTGTCGCTTCCACAGACAGTGTGTAAAACGTCGTCTCTGTGTCGTAGTCAATGGCTAGAATTTATGAATTTTTGTTATTTTAAACAGAGAGTGGCTGAATAATATTGCCACAGCTTCTTTATGTTTCCAAAATTAAAATCTTAAATATATGCTTTATGAGCGAAAAGATTTGAGGTAAGTAGAACAGGAATCAGTAAATAAACGTATACGCTGAAATAATAAAATAGTTCTCGGAACAAACGGAATAAATAAGTACATAATTGTTCTTGTAAAACAGAAGGTACATTGCACCTTTGAATTTACTTTAACAATCCTCAATTGTATTCCAGAGCTTACATCATATAAAACTTACTTGCAGCTAGTGTTATCTCTCCTGCCGCAGATACAGCAAATTTGCTGCCAGTGTTTCCGCTCGCAATGGAATAAGTAACAGTATCCGAAGCGTCAGCATCAGCGCATGTTGTGGTGACGACCTACATATATGTAAACAATGGTATATAAACGACTAAGGTGCATGCACATACCAATCCAATGTAATTTAAACGAAAAAATCAAAACCTCACCTAATTAATTTCATCTGTATCATTTAACTTAGTTTGTAAAATTTCTAAACTTTCTATTGTAAATTTTCTAAAACGTCTGCACTTCTTTAAACCATACAAGTACATTTCGACCTACCGTAGCTGAGGCTGCTGTGCTCTCCGCCATTTCCACTACGTACGCTGATGGAGAGAATATTGGGGAGTTGTCGTTGACATTCGTCACTGAAACCGTGACGGAACCTGTGTCCTGAAAAGGAAAAGGAAACAAATTGGCACAATGTCGTTGATTTGTTATTGGTTGCTGGCGTGTCTATGGTATTCAAATATTAAGAAAATTTGCTTAAAATGCAGTACGCGATCGACATTGTCTGGAACATAATTAGCTTTAACACCTGAATAATAATGAAATGTTGTTTTTTTTTCTTTTTTTCTTTTGGAAAATAATAAAATAAACGGACGAGTAAAATAAAAGTTACTTCGGGAACAGTTTCACCAATCTGGTGTAAAAGGTATTTAGATATAAAGAATTTTGTATGTCAAGCAGAAATGTTTATTTCAGTTCAAGATACAATAAATATGAAAGTATAGCGTTCATGCCAATGTCTAATAGACGACTTCTTTGAGAGAAAAGACATCAAAAAAGTTGTTCTAAATTTTGAGGTCACAATGCGATATCATATGATATACATATAAATATAAACGTATCGGTATATTCACTCTAGAAATGTGCGTGAAAAATAATATACACTTCATGATTATTAAAAATAAATCAATCATACCGTTGAGCCTCCCCCGTCCGTAGCCACCACTGTGATGACGTAGCTGGTGGTAGTTTCGTAATCAAGAGCACTGGATAGTGTTATACTTCCCGACGTCGAGTCTATGGTGAATACACTGGTTCCACTATTGGTGGCTGAAACGAAATAGTGTAAACATGAAAAGATCTTCACTATTCGATTTTTGTTTGCATATAAATAACACACATTATTTTAATATTAAATCTGTCGAAACTGATATACGGATAGGACAGGGATCGGAGACATGAATTGTTCAAACGACAAACTTTGGTCATATACAGTTGTGGGATCGCACAACGTTACACGATGTGCGGTGTGCGCATGATGTGTGCACGATGTGTGCACAATGTGCGAACGATAAAAAGTTCGACGATCATTGCTTGCGCACATTTGTGAGCACGATGGACGAACGTTGCGCAATAACAATCGTAGTTGGTGTAAATTGAGAAATGCCTTAATAATATATACGGTTTCGTGTTTAAACATACAAGCTTGATTTTTACGTACATGTATGTTTCTATTTTCTACCTACATCTATAAGCTTATCCTTATGTCTTTACTTTCTTAAAATTAGAAATTGTGTTTTCGGTATTTTTTAAACGTCCTTAATCGACACATGTGAATTTACAACACAGTCTCGTATACAGGTAAATAAAGCCACTTTGTACATGTACCTGGACCGTAGGTTTTCCCCGCCCCCCGCCCCCCCCTCCCCCCGGGGCGCTTAATTGGAGCTATACGCAAACCGAATGCAAATAACAAATATTAAACGTCCAGTTGTGTATACGGTATTGCATATCAGCTCTATGTGTCAAGTACATCTACAGGCCAGGTAAACTCTGGTCACTCAACAAATTGTTATTTACCTGTTCTGTTACATTGGAGCAAAACCCATTCAACAGTCACTGTAATGCTGTATTACACGAATGGTAAAACTGTATATAATCTTCATAACTATGATGAGAAATTACAGTAAAATATACAGTTTTCATTATTGCATACGAGCTTTCCGTATTGTTTATATTCCGTAATATTGATCTACAAATTGTACCCAATCGCAAAGTTGTGCGGAGAGAAGCGCACAACGGGGCGAACGATTGCTAAATCGCACAGTTGTGCGCACCATGTGTGGACGATGCGTGGACGGTGTGTGAACGATGTATGCACGATGTGCGTGCTATGTGGGGACGATGTGCGGACGGTGTGTGAACGATGTATGCACGATGTGTGTACGCTATTTTGCGCGTTGTGCAGTCACACAACTGCATTTAGCGTGATCATAACGTTGTTATCATTATTATTGAACTTAAAAAGCTGATGCATTTTGAATTTAATATATTTTATATACCTGCTGTAATGTCGTAGGAGATAATATCATGAGGTGATAAGTCACTATCTGCGGCGGTATATGTCGTGACAGCTGTTCCAACACTCGTACTCTCCGCGAGGCTGACGGTAGGATTGGACGCAAAGGACGGATTGTTGTCGTTTGCAGCAGACAAAACGACGTCTACAGTAGCTGTACTGGACAGAGTCCCGTCACTGATCTCAACAGCAAGACTGTACGACTGACTTCCGGTGTCGTAATCCAGGGCTTTAAAATGTAAATCATGCAAGTTAATCGTGGCATCAACTTACATACAGATCCCATACATGTATGTGGCACAATAACCTACTAAAATAGACTACTTATATAATTGGATTTGTTATCATTTATGGATTTCTGATTAACAAGGCAACAAAAGAGTGCTTTAGTAAAACACGAACGTAAACGGGCGGTTGACTAAAGGACTACCATAAAGTCATGACTTCTCCTGCTAAAGTAATCTCATCCTATTGCTTACAGGATGGATATAGGATTGAATGTATAACATGTTTCACCTGTCGTGTTTACTTACTACAAGCCGTTGTCAATACTCCAGTGGCACTTCCAAGGCTGAAACAAGCGTCAGCATTTCCGGAGCTAATCGTGTATGCTAGAGTGTCGGAATCTCCGTCCGTGCAGACCAGAGTTGTTACTGTTGTCTGAATTAGAAGGATAACACATACATTTAGATAAAAGAATCTTTTGTCAATATATGGGTACAGTTATCGACGTATTAGTTATATTACCCACGTTATCAGAAACACGCAACATGTCTATATGTCCAAATATTTGCCTTCCATCCCCTGGAAACGGATATTTTTACAACTAATTTTGTATTTGTCGCTTTTGTATTTATCGCCATTAATCACACTATTTTTTTCATTTTGTAAATTAACAAGTATATAACTATAGCTATTAGTTTGACTTATCCATGAAACATATTTCATTAAATTCGATAGAGCCTTTCTTTACGGTTGCGTCGATAATAACAACGCATATAGTTTTAGAGTGCGTTAAGATATCTACCGTTGATAACTTATGATGGCGTCTATCAGCTCACCGATATTCGAACGCTAGGTTAGTATGTACGACTAAATTTGTAAAAAGAAAATAAATCTTACTCCCGACGAAGCTGTCTCCGCCACTGTAAACGTGTAGGAAGATGACGGACACGCCGGAGTATTGTCGTTGACGTTCGTGACCGATAACGTCACTGTTCCTGATCCCTGTACAGAAACAAAGTATCCATATTTTTATTATATTATCTTGATGGGTATTTGTTTTATGAGATATGCTTTTATCATAACAAATTTATTTTAAAAGCTTAAAGTAGAAATATGTTCAGGATCTACTACAATAATTGTAAAACACATTATGATTTCAATACTTCCAAACAGTAGATGGATTATATCTACATACATTTATGGACACTTATAGTTAAAAAAATATGTCATTATGCTACCGAAACAAGGAAGTGTTTTCAAATGTTTAAAATGAAATAAAAAAGAGAAATATTTCAGTCAGACCCCAACCACTTACCACAAGGCCGCCTCCGTCAGTAGCAGTGACCGTGATCTGGTAACTTGTTGTGGTGTCGTAATCCAGGGTTTTGGCCAATGTTATAGTTCCAGTGGTGGCATCAATGGTGAAGTAGGCACTTCCGGTGTTCGTTACTGTAACCATTCACGTAATCATCATATGTAACAGAATCGACGAAGTTTAAATATAAATTTCATTGTATCTGCTTGTGTATCAGTGCTCATTTTAAATTGCCATGTGATTTATGTCAATGATACTTGAAAATATTGATTAATTGATTGCTTGATAAATTAAAATAAATGCATTAATACGTAAAAAAAAAAAAAAAAATACTAAACAACTCTTTTCAATCGATAATATGTCTTGTGATGTTGAACATTTTATATTTCCAATTTTAACATTAAAAAAACACTGTTTTACCTGCCGTAATGGCGTACGTAGTGATATCGTGCGGCGAGGCGTCCGTGTCTGTGGCTGTGTAGGTCGTTACTGCGGTACTGACACTGGCGCTCTCAGCCAGGGAAACTGTCGGGTTAGTGGCGAAGGCTGGAGTGTCCTCGTTTGTACCAGTGACTGTGATCTTAACCGTAGCAGTAGCCGTAGTGGTGGAGTCTGTCGCTGCCACAGACAGTGTGTAAAACGTCGTCTCCGTGTCTTAGTCAATGGCTAGAATTTATGAATTTTTGTTATTTTAAACAGAGAGTGGCTGAACAATATTGCCACAGCTTCTTTATGTTTCCAAAATTAAATCTTAAATATATGCTTTATGAGCGAAAAGATTTGAGGTAAGTAGAACAGGTACCAGTAAATAAACGTATACGCTGAAATAATAAAATAGTTCTCGGAACAAACGGAATGATTAAGTCCACACTTGTTCTTGTAAAACAGAAGGTACATTGCACCTTTGAATTTACTTTAACAATCCTCAATTGTATTCCAGAGCTTACATCATATAAAACTTACTTGCAGCTAGTGTTATCTCTCCTGCCGCAGATACAGCAAATTTGCTGCCAGTGTTCCCGCTCGCAATGGAATACGTGACAGTATCCGAAGCGTCAGCATCAGCGCATGTTGTGGTCACGACCTACATATATTTAAACAATGGTATATAAACGACTTAAGTGCATGCACATACCAATCCAATGTAATTTAAAACGAAAAAACTAAAAAACTCGATATAATAAATTTCTTCTGTATCTCTAAACTTATGTTTGTTAATTGTCTAAACTTGTTTTTTTAATTTTCTAAAACGTCTGCTCTTCTTTAAACCATACAAGTACATTTCGACCTACCGTAGCTGAGGCTGCTGTGCTCTCCGCCATTTCCACTACGTACGCTGATGGAGAGAATATTGGGGAGTTGTCATTGACATTGGTCACTGAAACCGTGACGGAACCTGTGTCCTGAAAAGGAAAAGGAAACAAATTGGCACAATGTCGTTGAATTGTTATTGGTTGCTGGCGTGTCTATGGTATTCAAATATTAAGAAAAATACATGAATAAACGCTAATTAGCTTTAACAGCTGAATATTAATAAAATAATATTTTGTGTGTTTTAGGGAAATCATGACGAGTAAAGTAAAAAAGTTACTTTTGGAACTGTTTCACCAATCTAGTGCAATGTTTGTTTTAAATATAAATAAGTTTGTACGTCAAAAACACATATTTATTCCAGTTCAAGATAAGATAATGATAGTGTTCCTGCCAATATCTAATATACGACTTCTTTGAGAGTCAAGACATTGCAAATATTTTCCTAAATTTGGCGTCAAAATGCGATATTATATCATGATATAAATATAAATATAAACGTATGGGTATATTCACTGTAGAAATGTGCGTAAAATATAGCATACACTTCATGTTTTTTTAAAAACAATTCAATCATACCGTTGAGCCTCCCCCGTCCGTAGCCACCACTGTGATGACGTAGCTGGTGATAGTTTCGTAATCAAGAGCACTGGATAGCGTTATACTACCCGACGTCGAGTCTATGGTGAATACACTGGTTCCACTATTGGTGGCTGAAACGAAGTAGTTTAATAATGTAAAAACCTTGACGGTTTGATTTTTGTTTCCTGATAAAGAACACGCATTATCGTTACATTAAATCTGTTGAAAATGATATCCGGATAGGACAGAGATCGGGGAAATTAAATGTTCAGACCACATACTTGGGGAGTAAATTTGGCGTTATAAAACGTTGTTATCATTATTTATGAACTCAAAAAGCTGATGCATTTTGAATTTAAGATATGTTATATACCTGCTGTAATGTCGTACGAGACAACATCGTGAGGTGATAAGTCACTATCTGCGGCAGTATATGTCGTGACGGCTGTTCCAACACTCGTACTCTCCGCGAGACTGACGGTAGGATTGGACGCAAAGGATGGATTGTTGTCGTTTGCGGCAGACAGGACGACGTCTACGGTAGCTGTACTGGACAGAGTCCCGTCACTGACCTCTACAGCAAGACTGTACGACTGACTTCCGGTGTCGTAATCCAGGGCTTTAACACGTAAATTATGCAAGTTAATCGTGGCATGGACATACATACAGATCCCACTCATTTAAAAAAGACTAGGTATATCATTGAATTTGTTATCATTCATGGATTTCTAATTAACAAGGCAACAAAAGAGTGCCTTATCAAAACACGAACGTAAACAGGCGGTTGACCAAATGTCTGCCATAAAGTCATGACCTTCCTGCTAATGTAACCTCATCCTCATGATTACAGGATGAATAAAGGATTGAATGTATAACTTGTTTCACCTGTCGTGTTTACTTACTACAAGCCGTTGTCAATACTCCAGTGGCACTTCCAAGGCTGAAACAAGCGTCAGCATTTCCGGAGCTAATCGTGTATGCTAGAGTGTCGGAATCTCCGTCCGTGCAGACCAGAGTTGTTACTGTTGTCTGAATTGGAAGGATAACACATACATTTAAATAAAAGAATCTTTTGTCAATAAATGGGTACAGTTATCGACATATTAGTTATATTACCCACGTTATCAGAAACAGTCTATATGTCCAAATATTTGCCTTCCGTCCCTCGGAAACGGATATTTTTATAACTAATTTTGTATTTGTCGCTTTTGTATTTATCGCCATTAATCACACTATTTTTTCGTTTTGTAAATTAACAAGTATATAAATATAGCTATTAGTTTGAATTATCCATGGGCCTTTCTTTACGGTTGCGTCGATAATAACAACGCATATAGTTTTAGAGTGCGTTAGGATATCTACCGATGATAACTTATGATGGCGTCTATCAGTTCACCGATATTCGAACGCTAGTTTAGCATATACGACTTAATTTGTAAAAAAGAAAATAAATCTTACTCCCGACGAAGCTGTCTCCGCCACTGTAAACGTGTAGGAAGATGACGGACACGCCGGAGTGTTGTCGTTGACGTTCGTGACCGATAACGTCACTGTTCCTGATCCCTGTACAGAAACAAAGTATCCATACTTTTATTATATTATCCTGATGATTATTTGTTTTATGAGATATGCTTTTATCATAACAAAATTATTTTAAAAGCTGAAAGTAGAAATATGTTCAGCATCTACTACAAAAATTGTAATACACATTATGATTTCAATACTTCCAAACAGTAGATGGATAATATCTACATAAATTTATGGACACTTATAGTTAAAAAAAATATTTCATTATGCTACCGAAACAAGGAAGTGTTTTCAAATGTTTAAAATGAAATAAAAAAAAGAAAATTCAGTCAGATCCCAACCACTTACCACAAGGCCGCCTCCGTCAGTAGCAGTGACCGTGATCTGGTAACTTGTTGTTGTGTCGTAATCCAGGGTTTTGGCCAATGTTATACTACCAGAGGTGGCATCAATATTGAAGTAGGCACTTCCGGTGTTCGTTACTGCAATCATAAAACGTATTTACAAGATCTGTTACGTTCGAAACAATTTATCGCGAATTATAAGCTGATGAAGATACCGATTTCGCAGAACGAGATAAACATTATAGAGATATGAAATATAATGGTCCATATTATAAACAGAAACATATTACAGAACCTAGAAATTATTCTAAACGCAATAACTATAGGTCGTTTTTTTCTTCCAGTCGAGTTACGCACCTGCCGTAATGGCGTACGTAGTGATATCGTGCGGCGAGGCGTCCGTGTCTGTGGCTGTGTAGGTCGTTACTGCGGTACCGACTCTGGAGCTCTCAGCCAGGGAAACTGTCGGGTTAGTGGCGAAGGCTGGAGTGTCCTCGTTTGTACCAGTGACTGTGATCTTAACCGTAGCAGTAGCCGTAGTGGTGGAGTCTGTCGCTTCCACAGACAGTGTGTAAAACGTCGTCTCCGTGTCGTAGTCAATGGCTGGAATATTGTAATTTACGATGAAGATGATTGTAATTTACGATGATGTTATTAAGACTATCTTCTTTTAGAAGATAGTCTTAATAACATAATTTTAACGTTGTGTAGTGACATTTGTTTTTTCACATAACGGCTATTAGCAATACTGACCTCATGTTTTATTTCTCACACTATTCCGTCTTGCAACAATCAATCATATTTTGTTAAGTTAGTTCTTAACTGCATTAATAAGTGTGTCATACCTTCCATAAATCTGTTGTTAAATGTTAAATACTCATCATTTGTATAGATATTGACGTGCAAGTTGCTTTCATTAGAGTAGTATTCAAGACACGTTGTTCATTTTGGTACTAGAAGGCATACACAGCTGATTCGGCTCGGTACTTTTCGAATAAGTATGTAGGTGCAGAATTACTCATACATCGAGATGAAAAGTAAACTAACAGAGGTATCAAATAAAACGAAATATCACAAATGGAAATCAATTACCCTATATATGAATATATGTAATGTGAATATCACGATAAAAGCAATTAGAACATACATTATTCTTACCTCTCAGGTATTTTTCCGCGAGTTAAGCCTATAGCAAAATGAAAGATGACATATGTATGATTGAATATATATCTTACTTGCTGCAAGGGTTATTTCCCCTGCCGCAGTGACCGAGAATTTGCTGCCAGTATTCCCACTAGCAATGGAATAAGAGACAGTATCCGCGGCGTCTGCATCTGCGCATGTCAGGGTCACGACCTACAGATACGTTAAAATGTTGTACTTTGTTACCTATTCATATATACAGCAGTGTTATTCTTAGTCTATTAAGTACGTAATCATGTATACATTTTAAATAATCGTTACATGCAAATTAAACAAAAATCAGCCATAAATAAAAGGTATTATTCTTGAAAGGAAGCCGACTACAAATTCTGTATGTGGCGTAAAACAAATTACCGTAGCTGAGGCTGCTGTGCTCTCCGCCATTTCCACTACGTACGCTGATGGAGAGAATATTGGGGAGTTGTCGTTTGCATCAGTTACTGAAACTGTGACGGAACCTGTTGCCTGCAAAAATATCATAAAAGCGTTCAGAGAGGTTTAATAATATGCCTGGTATTTAAAGTATAGAAAGTGTTATAGACCCAGAGAATGATCGAGATTTTAAACGTTTTATTAAAAAGGAAGAAAGTATGTTCATACCGTTGTCCCTCCACCATCCGTAGCTGTTATTGAGATGACGTAGCTGGTGGTAGTCTCGTAATCTAACGTACTGGCCAGCGTGATGCTGCCTGATGTCGCATCCACAGCGAACACACTGGACCCGCTGTTTGTTACTGCAATACCATCGTTATTGTATCGTGTGTCAATCATGAACTCAGTCAAATATAGTTCTCCAGACTTAATCAGAAGTTAGGTTTTGTATTGTTTATTCAACCCTAATGAATGTAGAGATTTGAAACGTCTTGCAATCAAGTATAGTGCATTGTGATATTGATTAAACGAACCGATTGGATACAAACACAGGAAAATGAACAATCACCCATTCAGATTAAAAATTTCGGCCTCCTGACTTTCATCAGGAACTGTGGAAACGCTTATGATTCTGCAATTTGAACAAAATCTCGGAACCTCATCGTGAGATAATACGTTTCCTTTTTCCAGTCGTCTTATAGAAGAATATTGCTCTGTATTACTTACATTTGTATATATATTTGAAATTTTGAGAAACACAGGATCGGTTATTTAGGAAATGTTTACATGTTATTATTGCATGGGAGAATACACTGTGAAGTGAAACGTAATCTTCAGAGGCAGTTATCTGAAACTGTGAAATGCAAGTTGAACTACAGTTTCCGTGTACCTGCGGTGATGACATATGACACAACTTCATGGGGTGATAAATCAGCGTCTGCAGCAGTGTATGTCGTGACGGCTGTTCCAACACTCGTACTCTCCGCGAGACTGACGGTAGGGTTGGAGGCAAATGCCGGGTTGTTGTCGTTTGCGGCGGAGAGGCTTACGTACACAGTAACAGAGCTAGACGTGGTTCCGTCACTGACATCCATAGCAAGAGTGTAAGACTGACTTCCGGTGTCATAGTCCAGAACTAGAAGGAAGAGGTTATATTGTATAAAATACTGTAAAATTGGAAATTTTCGTGTGTGGAAATTTTCGCGTACTTACTCTGTAAACTGATTGCGTTGTAGGTCTTGTCCCGTTGACAATGATTCTGATATCTACGTTTTTATAAATTAATCATCTATACAACCTAAATTTATGAATATGTCCGTGCTAATGTAACAAACAAAAAAAATGGCATTCCTATTAAATACCAAATAAAAGTTAAAGTAAAGATATCTCTCGTTTGGGTAGTTTTTTTTTTCAAACCCCTAAGCGGCGCAAAGCGCCGCCGGGGTTTGATCTGTAAACACTTTGTCCACTTCCGGTGCTTCCCCATGCGTGAAAGCCTTCTGGGAAATTAAGGCCGCATATTGTCTACAAAAATATGTTGGTAAACCCTACCGTATCGGTATTGATTGCAGTTTACTTGTAAAATATCATGAATTCTCTATTTAATAAAAACATTTATTTAATGCAGTGAAGATAAACGAAACATATTATATCTTCACAAGTAAAAACTTCACTCTGTAAGTATTGTCCAATCTGAACGGTACATTATATTTCTGCGTAGATTTTCAGTTTCAAGTTTAGATGAAGTGACGGCAGTATAAGTGGTTGAGCTGTTTACCTTTGCAGCATACATTGTTGTTTTTACATAACTACACAATTAATATCATTTTTGTCTGGAAATCTTACCAGATATACTAGCAAACGGCAAAATTGCAGTGAAAACCCATTCAAAGTGGCGCTTTGTATTGTTGTCAAGCATGACGTCATTATAATTTGGCGTCAAAAACTACGTTATACATTCCCGCGCTTTTCTGATGTAGCAATATTTGCGCAGCGAAACGTGAAAGAAATGTAAGAAATAGAAAATTTCATGGTTTTCCCGTTCAATACGCTATATTTATTTCACTTGTAATATGAAATAGGCGAGACCCAAACAGCTGGCACACATACACATGAAATTACTGTTTCCTACATAACTTAACAGTTACATTTTGTCAGTAGAGTGAACATCCAGTCCTGTCATTATTCAATGGGTGTACTATTATGTTTTCTTCGTACGGGGGGGGGGGTGTGTGTGTGTGTGTGTGTGTGTGTGTGTGTGTGTGTGTGTTAAACCAGGATACCTTATCCCCCTAAACCCCTGCCTGCTGAGGACTTTTATTTCAAAATATATGTCCCCATATTGGGACAGGGGCAATTTCGGTCCCTTTTTGTTAAAGTCGTTCTGAACAATATGTCATATGCTAATATGGTCGAGTGGTCAAAGTTAACACAACGGCCTTCCATGCGGCCGGGGTTCGATCCCAGAAGTTGTCGTATGCATGGATATGCAGAGCAAGTGTTTTTCTCCTGCCTATACAACTCCAACAACCCAGGTGGAGTATAAATTGGTCTGGGGAGAATGTTGCGAGGTGGCACTATAAATGATACCGTATGAAGCACGGTCCCTCTACAAACACACCACATTACGTATACATTTCCAGCAGTTTATGTAAATCGTCTTATGTCCCCGGCTTCTCTCTCTCTCTCTTAGAAGATGACATTATTACCAAATCATTGACATTTGGCCCAAAACGTGCGGTTACAACTAGATATTGAGCGTGAACTGAATATTCTGAACAACACAATTAATGCCATTTACAATTTATATGATTATAATGAAATAGATTATAGTATGCAGGATCCGTTCCCTCGTGGTTGGTGGACTGTCAGTAAGTCATTTTCATAAAATGGTTTGGTGTCCAGCAGCTTTGCTGCATTTTCTTGTTAGGTTTGTCTTGTTTTATCACTCGGAAATGGAAAAAAAGTATACTGAATGAAGACTTATTGTAATAAGATCGAAAGATGACATTTTTTCAAATGATTCGAAAAGATTTGTTCCGCATAAAAGTGTATTATTCCGAAGGAAAACGCTAACTTAATGTAACAAGAGTTGAGGTTTTAAACAATCTAAAAGATATAAATTATACAATGTACATAAATATTGGTGTGTATACGTATTTATCATTGTACATACCGCAGGAAGTGGTCAGCACAGCACCTGTCAGACTAAAACATCCCTCGGAATTGCCAGAAGTTATTGTGTACGTCATGGAATCTCCATCGGCATCAGTACAAGCTAGTGTGGTCACGGTCGTCTGTGTGAACAATGGCAGTAGGTCAATATATAGCGACCCGAGGAAGCAAAATCCTAGGTATTGCTAGCAACATGTGTATAGAAACACCACATTTAGTATCAATAAGAGAATGCAAAATTTAATATGATAAGAAATCCACTTTGGAAATTAAATGTAAGAACACATGTACATTCAGAATTCTAAACTTACAATGCTAATGAAATGAGAAATGAGAGATATATATTTATAAGAAACCAGAAATCTTGTCGTTCTGTGGTTATTGCTGGTGCCCGTGTACACACCCCTGACGAGACTGTTTCTGCTACACTGTAGATGTAGGTTGAGGAGGGACAGGCAGGAGTGTTGTCGTTGACGTCGGTGACTGTGACAGTGACTGCCGAGGTGGCGCTGTCTGTTGGTGAACCACCGTCAGTAGCCTGTACGGTGAGGGAGTACGACGTCGTTGTCTCATAGTCCAGGGCCAGTGTCAGATATATCTCTCCTGTCGTAGTTCCTATACCGAACCGTGCCTCGGAATTTCCACCTACGAAATTATACATAAACATTTCCTATCTAGTAAAAAAAGCAGATGCCAAGGTGTTAACAGTTACAATAAATGTACTAAATAAATAGTTGAAAATAAGCCCGCTAAACACTTCGGACAAAGCAAGATCTTATGTGAATCGGGTAAAAATAATACATATGATGTAAGGTTAGTCTTATAACCTTTTTAAACATCCTATCACACTTTAGTTAAGGAAGCATGTATATTCTTCTTTAAAATAAGTTATCATAGATATGATGATAACAAAAATTACAATTTATAACGATCTAATTATCTCCCCCCAACATTGAAGTTTCCATCAAAATTGATATTTTCTTCAAATCTTAGTATTAGAAGTATATATAATGAGGAATGCAAATAAAAACCAATTACTGATATCTGTTATAATAGAGTGAACAAATAAACATCCACGAACAAGAGGTAATATAGTACATCATTATGCCTCTAGCTAAAGTCCTGTAATCGGTCACATTCGCTTTAACATTGAGTCAAAAGAAGGGTACTTGCCATCTCCCTGGCAACGAGTGACAGTGTATGTGACAGTGCAAAAAACGAGTGACCGCGCAAAAACGATGCGCGAACGGTTTGTCTTGGCCGCCATGCCTTTTTTTCGGTTTAATTTTGCCTTGTGTGACAGTGATAGCCTCGGGATTACCCTAGGCACTCTCAAACTCTTATAAATGAAGTATTTGTATATTGCAAAATCAATGAAAAAAACAAAGGTTAAACAATCCACTTACTCCATATGTTACTTTGAGGATGACAATACACACGAAACAATTATGACAATTCTACAACTACCCTTAATGTCCTGCGATTACGAAGTCCTTAATACATATATTTTAAAAAACATATTTTTTTTTTATTTTACTTTATTATATATCACTTTATACAAACCTATAATACTGTAGGTGAGCACCCCGTCGTTTCCATCATCAGCGTCACTCGCCTGTACAGATGCCACTGTGGTTCCCACGGCGCTGTTTTCGGCAACCTGATGTACAAATAAACAACATTGTAAGGTAAACAACGGACGACAAAATGTATTTCAAAGCATCAAAACGTCGATATGTAAAAGAAACTAACCTCCTAATATGCAATATGTCGACAAGCCCGTTAAGCATTTCTGACAAAATGGGATATTAATGTGTATTTCGGGTAAAAATGAAAACAATTGTGTCGGGTTATGCTTATCATCTTCTGAACCATTCTGTCACCCAACTCGACTCGAAACAGTAAAAAAGCTATCATATAAAGATAATGATAAAAAGTTAACGTTTGATAGCGATCTAATTACAGAACATAATAGTTTCCCACAAAATTGAAATTTGTTTTTCAAATCTCAACATTAAAAGAAGATTTGTTCTGGTCCTCTTTCAGTCCCTGAGTGGATTGCACAAACGCAAATCCCAGGTTCTGCATTGGGATCACAAACCAGTTGCCTCTTACAACATATAGTGGGCAAAACCTGTTTATTCTTTTCTCAATCCCCGTCCTTCAGGGGTTGTGCTATTCGTAAATATTTTCATAATGGATCATAAAATTGCCTGAGAGATAGCACATAAACATACCGATATGGACGACGGTGTTGTACCCGATATCACAGGAGTGTTGTCATTTGTACCCGTGATTGTGACGTAAACATATGCAGTTCCGGTTAGATCTGACCCGGCAGTGGCTGTGTCGGTGGCTATGACAACGAGGCTGTAAATATAATTCTGTGAGGAGAGCGCCTCGTAGTCAGTGGCGGTTGCCGTTGTTTGAAGAGTGGTACCGGAAATAGTAAACTTGGCTGAGCCGTCGTCCCCGCTCTGTATACTGAGAGCACAGTTTCCGTTAGTACCGCTGTCAGCATCAGTACAGGTCAAGGCAGCAATTGATGTTCCTGGGAACAATACGTTATGTCTGTTTGAATTTGCTATCTATTCTTCCACGCCCGCTATGCATTAGTTATTAGCTATTTATTATTGGACAATAATCCATCTGCATTCATGTATTTTCCAACAAAATATGTGCGCAAATATTGATTATTAATGAAAATAAAATAAAAAATGAATCATTGACTATTATGCAAGGATTAAATAAAATCTGAATTATTTTTACAGATTGACTAGTCTTTAACTATAATGTTGCATACAAGTAGATATTTCACATACGCTACGACACATCAGTTTCAAATTATTTCCAAACAACAAGCGATCAGCTCATTGGACATTTGCTAATTTCAATTGCCCAACATACGTTCACTTAAATATTCATTGTGAATCAATGTATTGATGATATTCAGCATTCCATATTCACGTGGACAATTACATTACCTAATAATCAGTATACTGTTGCTTCACATCAGCACATAGTACCTGAGTCAAATCCCTATAGGATAATACGCACCTGAAGTGGATATCTCTTGGATACACCGTAACTCAGGCGGATCCATCTAGGACCCTATGTACCTGATGCAGAAATATCTAGGGTTTAACTTACATGTAGCTGATCTCTCTGGGACATAGCATCTCTCTGGGAGACAATATACCTGAAACGAATCTGTCTGTGACACTACGTACCTGGTGGCATCCCTCTGGTATACTATGTACCTGAGGCGGACCCCTCTGGTATAATATGTACCTGAGATGGACCCCTCTTGGATACTTTGTACCTGAGATGAACCCCTCTGGGATACTACTTACCTGAGATGAACCCCTCTGGGATACTACTTACCTGAGATGAACCCATCTGGGATACTACTTACCTGAGATGAACCCCTCTGGGATACTACTTACCTGAGATGAACCCCTCTGGGATACTACTTACCTGAGGCGGATCTCTCTGGGATACTACTTACCTGAGATGAACCCCTCTGGGATACTACTTACCTGAGGCGGATCTCTCTGGGATACTACTTACCTGAAGCGGATCCCTATTAGATATTACGTACCTGAAGCGGATGCCTCTGGGATACTTTTGGAGTAGATTGCAGGACTGAATGTGGGTGTGTTGTCGTTGTAGTCTGTTATACTTATCGTCAGTGTAGGACTTGTCACAGGGGTGCTGCCATCAGTTGCACTGTACAGTTGTATCAAGTATAAGTTAATGTTGATAAATAGGACATGGAAAGTATATAGGTAGTGATGGTTAAACATCCGCAATAAAGGTTCCGGAATACTTTAAATTTCGATGTCTTTTATAAGAAAGCAACCGAGTCATTCATCCACTCGTTCAGTACAATCTACATAAGTACACTAAAACGCATCATAATTAACCAAATATATATCAAATAACAAAAACACGTTACTTTTGATATATTAACGTTTATGACAAGAATGTTGTTTGTAGTCTTCACAAATGTATTTGTATGGTACATAGAAAAAAAAACAATAAAAATACCTCTGCAAATTCGGTTGATATAGCTAGTCCCTCTTACATTCAACAAGTAAGTCACGGCGTGAGGTACTTACCTGAACTGTAAGGCGTATGACGTTGTTGTTTCGTAGTCATACGTCGTATCGGTATAGACTACATCACCGACGACACTGAAACCCGAACCGGATGATATCGAGTATGTTATACTGTCGCCATCCGCGTCAGTTGCCGTCAGCTGGTAGATAGAGACAGCGGTGCCCGAGTTCTCACTGATGGAGATAGTCGTCGATGTGGAGGGCGTTGTCCACACGGGGGCAGCACCTACACAGGCAGTACGTTATATAGAGTCAGACGTGAATGTGATATTTCAACAGCATTTATCATAATTGTAAGGATGAACGCTTCATGTACTTTCACATATGATAAGACTATATTTCTAGGCAAACTTACCAATTCCAAATAAGCAATTTGTCTTTCACTTTCTTTCTATAACGATACTCAAGATACATCCAAACCATCACAACCATCCACTATCAAACCTACTACAACCAAATCCACCTTCCAAATTATTTATACCCTACCCCAATACAACCAGCACTATCAAAACATTCACATCCCACATTAAACATCCATTATTTAAATCATCACATCCCAATGCAACTATTCAGTATCAAAACTACCACATCCCAACCACAACCTAACCAATACCCAGCAAATCAAGCATACCCTACCCCACACGATCAACCACTATCAAAACTGCGACATCCCTTGACAACTAACCACTATTAAGTCTACCTCAGCCGACATCACGACGATCAACCACTATTAAAACTACAACATCCCATTTTAACGCGACCAATACCTTTCGACCCCAACCAAAACAATAACTATAAGGTTTGTAACTACATCCAATGCATCAAAACTAGCTCCAACCCACTGCAACATTACAAGTCACTATCATAGCCACCACACAACATTACAAGTCACTATCATAGCCACCACACAACATTACAAGTCACTATCATAGCCACCACACAACCCCAACACATTCTGTAAATATATTAACCCCTTCAAATCACCTAGCACGATCAAAACACTATCATAGCCACCACACAACCCCAACACATTCTGTAAATATATTAACCCCTTCAAATCACCTAGCACGATCAAAACACTATCATAGCCACCACACAACCCCAACACATTCTGTAAATATATATAAACCCCTACAAATTACCTAGCACTTCTCTAAACACTATCATAACCATCACACTACCCCAACACATTCTGTAAATATATAAACCCCTACAAATCACCTAGCACGATTAAAACACTATCATAACCACCACACACCCCCAACACATTCTGTAAATATATTAACCCCTTCAAATCCCCTAGCACGATCAAAACCCTATCATAGCCACCACACAACCCCAACACATTCTGTTAATATATAAACCCCTTCTAATCACCTACCTAGCACGATTAAAACACTATCATAACCACGACACAACCCCAACACATTCTGTAAATATATATAAACCCCTACAAATTACCTAGCACGATTAAAACACTATCATAACCACGACACAACCCCAACACATTCTGTAAATATATATAAACCCCTTCTAATCACCTAGCACGATCAAAACACTATCATAACCACCACACAACCCAAACACATTCTGTAAATATATAAACCCCTCCAAATCCCCTAGCACGATTAAAACACTATCATAACCACCACACACCCCCAACACATTCTGTAAATATATAAACCCCTTCAAATCTCCTAGCACGATCAAAACACTATTATAGCCACCACACAACCCAAACACATTCTGTAAATATATAAACCCCTACAAATCACCTAGCACGTTTAAAACCCTATCATAACCACCACACAACCCCAACACATTCAGTAAATATATAAACCCCTTCAAATCACCTAGCACGATCAAAACACTATCATAGCCACCACACTACCCCAACGCATTCTGTAAATATATAAACCCCTTCAAATCACCTAGCGCGATCAAAACACTATTATAGCCACCACACAACCCAAACACATTCTGTAAATATATAAACCCCTACAAATCACCTAGCACGATTAAAACACTATCATAACCACCACACAACCCCAACACATTCTGTAAATATATAAACCCCTTCAAATCACCTAGCACGATCAAAACACTATTATAGCCACCACACAACCCAAACACATTCTGTAAATATATAAACCCCTTCAAATCACCTAGCACGATCAAAACACAATCATAACCACCACACTACCCCAACACACTCTGTAAATATATTAACCCCGTCAAATCACCTAGCACGATGAAAACACTATCATAACCACCACACAACCCAAACACACTCTGTAAATATATTAACCCATACAAATCACCTAGCGCTTACCTAAACGCGATCATAACCAGCACACTACCCAAACACACTCTGTAAATATATAAACCCCTACAAATAACCTAGCACACTCAAAACACTATCATAACCATCACACTACCCCAACACATTCTGGAAATATATAAACCCCTTCTGATCACCTAGCACGATCAAAGCACTATCATAGCCACCACAAAACCCCACCACATTCTGTAAATATATTAACCCCTTCAAATCACCTCGCACGATCAAAACACTATCAAAGCCACATTATAGCCACCACACAACCCCAACTCATTCTGTAAATATATAAACACCTACAAATCACCTAGCACTTACCCAAACGCGATCATAACCACCACACGACCCCAACACATTCTGTAAATACATATAAACCCCTACAAATCTCCTAGCACTTACCTAAACGCGATCATAACCACCACACTCCCCCAACACATTCTGTAAAGATAAACCCATACAAATCACCTAGCGCTTACCTAAACGCGATCATAAACACCACACTACCCAAACACACACTGTAAATATATTAACCCCTACAAACTACCTAGCACGATCAAAACACGATCAAAACCACCACACAACACAAACACATTCTGAAAATATATAAACCCCTTCTGATCACCTAGCACGATCAAAACGCGATCATAACCACCCCACTACCCCAACACATTCTGTAATATATAAACCCCTTCTAATCACCTAGCACGATCAATACACAATCATAACCACCACACTACACAAACACACTCTGTAAATATATAAACCCCGTCAAATCTCCTAGCACGATCAAAACACTATCAAAGCCACCACACAACCCCAACGCATTCTGTAAATATATTAACCCATACAAATCACCTAGCGCTTACCTAAACGCGATCAAAACCACCACACTACCCAAACACACACTGTAAATATATTAACCCCTTCAAATCACCTCGCACGATCAAAACACTATCAAAGCCACCACACAACCCCAACGCATTCTGTAAATATATTAACCCCGTCAAATCACCTAGCACGATGAAAACACTATCATAACCACCACACTTCCCCAACACATTCTGTAAATACATATAAACCCCTACAAATCCCCTAGCACTTACCTAAACGTGATCATAACCACCACACTACCCCAACACACTCTGTTAATATATAAACCCCTACAAATCCCCTAGCACGATCAAAACACGATCAAAACCACCACCACACAACCCAAACACACTCTGTAAATATATAAACCCCTACCCACACTACCCCAACGCATTCTGTAAATATATAAATCCCTACAAATCACATAGTACGATCTAAACACTATCATAACCATCAAACTACCCTAACACACTCTGTAAATATATAAACCCTTTCAAATCACCTAGCACGATGAAAACACTATCATAACCACCACACAACCCCATCACATTCTGTAAATATATATATACCCCTACAAATTACCTAGCACGATCAAAACATTATCATAGCCACCACACAACCCCAATACATTCTGTAAATATATAACCCCCTTCTAATCACCTAGCACGATCAAACCACTATTATAGCCACCACACAACCCCATCACATTCTGTAAATATATAACCCCCTTCAAATCACCTAGCGCGATCAAAACACTATCATAACCGTCAAACTACCCTAACACACTCTGTAAATATATAAACCCTTTCAATTCACCTAGCACGATCAAAACGCGATCATAACCACCCCACTACCCCAACACATTCTGGAAATATATAAACCCCTTCTGATCACCTAGCACGATCAAATCCCTATCATAGCCACCACACAACCCCCACACATTCTGTAAATATATATATACCCCTACAAATTACCTAGCACGATCAAAACACTATCAGAGCCACCACACTACCCCAACACACTCTGTAGATATATAAACCCCTTCAAATCACTTAGCACGATCAAAACACTATCAAAACCACCACGCTACCCCAACACACTCTGTTAATATATAAACCCCTTCAAATCGGGGGGCACGATCAAAACACTATCAAAACCACCACACTGCCCCAACACATTCTGTAAAGATAAACCCATACAAATCACCTAGCGCTTACCTAAACGCGATCATAAACACCACACTACCCAAACACACACTGTAAATATATTAACCCCTTCAAATCACCTCGCACGATCAAAACACTATCAAAGCCACCACACAACCCCAACACATTCTGTAGATATATAAACCCCTTCAAATCCCCTAGCACGATCAAAACACGATCAAAACCACCACACAACCCGAACACATTCTGTAAATATAAACCCATACAAATCACCTAGCGCTTACCTAAACGCGATCATAAACACCACACTACCCAAACACACACTGTAAATATATTAACCCCTTCAAATCACCTCGCACGATCAAAACACTATCAGAGCCACCACACTACCCCAACACACTCTGTAGATATATAAACCCCTTCAAATCGGGGGGCACGATCAAAACACTATCAAAACCACCACGCTACCCCAACACACTCTGTAGATATATAAACCCCTTCAAATCGGGGGGCACGATCAAAACACTATCAAAGCCACCACACAACCCCAACCCATTCTGTTAATATATAAACCCCTACAAATCCCCTAGCACTTACCTAAACGCGATCATAACCACCCCACTACCCCAACACATTCTGAAAATATATAAACCCCTTCTGATCACCTAGCACGATCAAAGCACTATCATAGCCACCACACTACCCAAACATATTCTGTAAATATATATAAACCCCTACAAATCACCTAGCCCTTCCCTAAACGCGATCATAACCACCCCACTACCCCAACACATTCTGGAAATATATAAACCCCTTCTGATCACCTAGCACGATCAAACCACTATCAAAACC